TCATGGCATTACTTACTGGCAGGTGCTTAGTGGCAGATGTTCTGAGATGGTTTCTAGATAACTGAAATGGAATTAGAGCCTTTGACAGCAGATGCAGCTCTTGCCTGGTCTTGAAAGCCTCCATTTCTCATCCAGCTGAGTCTCCTTGCCCTGCTCCAGTGGTAGGACACTCATGGTCTCCTAGAGTCTGTCCCCCAAGAATAATGCTCAGCAAACTTGTGTCTGCAGTAGGGGAAAAGAACCCAAACCAGAGGTGGAGTTGGGCAGGTGAAAGATGGGCTGTGGATGGATTGCTCATACAGGGCAAGGAGGAGGTAGTCTCTTCAGTGCTTCACCTCCCTGAGAGCATCACTGTGTCCCTACAGGGTACCCCATATGGAGCACATCTCCAGGCTGCATCAGGCTTTTGGGCAGGGCTATTCCATATCCAGGTTAATGCAGCACAGCTGAAGAGCCAAGGGAGCCCCCCCCCCCCATCACCTGCTGAGTGGGGCATCACAGGTGAACCAGGGGGAAGAGAAGGAGCCATGTCTGTCTTAAACAGCACCAGGGTGACAGGGCAGAGAGGAGAAGTGTTGCTATTTAGAGATGTCTGTAGGTTCCCACTGCTGTGGGAGTTTTGATGATTCTGGGGCAGAATAAGGACCTTCTTTTGGGTGCTAGACAGGTCCAGACAGTGCAGCTGGAGTGGACACAGGCAAAGACAGTTTCTGGAGTTTCTCCAGCAGTGATACGAGGCAGACCTGGATCTCTTCATGCATAGCCACAGGTAGCATGCTGTGGCCTGTGTTCTCCTCCTCTGTAAGGTCTTTACCTTTACCTCTGCTTATTTTCTCTGGGGTGGGACTGCTGGGATGCTTCCCCTGTCTATCCTTGGGGTAGGTAGGTGCAGAGCCACACCAGTGTTGCAGAGAACAGCCCCACAGGTAAGCCAGGGTCTGACTCTCACCAACACTGTGTCATAGAAGAGGAGGAGGAGCCAGTCCCACTGCCAGAACATCCCTAGAGTGATGGGTATGGCCATGAAAGCAACACCTTTTACCTGCTGTGACCTCTTAGGTAGGAGCTAGATGAAGGTGGTGGAGGGATCTGACAGGCAGCAGGAGGTAGAGCTGTGGTGGGAGAAGGAGCAGCTGGCAGCTCAGCTCCTGTTGCAGAGCCAACACAGTTGCATCTCACATCCCAGGAGCAGGATGCTTTGCTGTTTAAAGGTACATTTCACTGAAGTGGGATTCATTCCAGTAGGATCTACAGGTGTTGACTCTGAGACATTAAACAACTACAATCACAGTGCAGACTCAGCTCTGCCAAGGAGTTCATTGGAAAAAGTCAGTCCAGCTGAGGCTGGCAAAGTTGTCTCCCCTTGACAAAAGTGTCTTGGAAATGAGCAGAGATCACAAACACATGCAGTTTTCTATGCATGTGGTTTGGACAGGGGATTATCTCAACTCATGCTGAAACCATCTTGCTACTGCCTCTTCCCAGAGCAGAGGAACATGGAGGAGTAATGGAGGTGATTGCAAAACTGAGGCTGAGCAAGCAGACTCAGCTGTTGGAGCAAGTGAGCCTGTGCTATGTTGTCTGCCTGGGTCATCTCTCTCCTTTTTGGGTATGTGACTTGTGTCCTGCCCACTGGAGATCCCTGGCTCCTCTGTGTCCAAATGCAGGAACACTGAAGGGCAATGGCAAAGCAAGTCAAAGTAGAATCACAGCAGGACTTATTGGAGGAGCAGCAACCATTCATGACTCAGCAGATTTCCATCAAAGTGAGAAGAGCTGAATACGGCAAAGGGGAGCTGAAGCAGACATGTTTTTGTATGTGCTGGGAGTCTGAACAGTGGTGTGGTGTAAGAAAGAGCTGAGTGCTGGGCTGCAACCTCCTTCATCTGCCCTCTGCCTCCTTCATCTCATCTCCTTACATGTGGAATTGCAATCTGACAGACAAAGGCTGCTGCGTACATGCATATGTGTGCTTCTCAAGGAAGCAGAAATCTCCACAAGGGGTGCTGGTCAGGCACCAAGGGCTGGAGTCAGCCTCCTGATGTTTTGGGGTTTAGTGACAGTAATGGGTTAAAGGAGAAAAAGACTGCAGTAGATGGGATTTAGGCATCCCCTTTGCTTCCCTTGCAGTGCTCTCCGGAGTGCTTTGATGCAGGAGGTCGATGGTGCAGAAGTTCTTGAAGGAGTGAGGGAAGCTGGTTGCTACATGGGCTGAATTTCACACCCAAGAGTAGCAGCTGAAGGAGTGGCTGTGGGATAACATGGAACAATCTCAGCACACGGGCTCCAACATGAGACTCCACTGCAGTAAGGCCCCTTCCTATGGCCTCCAGCACAGCCTGGCAGGCTCAGGGATGTATCCTGCACACAGGGGAGACATTCAGCACTTCCTTTAGATATTTAAGACAGAGGTGTCACAATGAGAACCAGGCTGTTCCAGGAACAGCTTCCACCAGCCTGTCTTAGATGTCACCTGTCTCTCTCCTGTGCCTGTGAAGAGTCTGGGCAGCTAGAGCAGGCAAAGGTGCCTCTGTTATGACTCTAGTGAGGGGAAACCACCAAAGTGGGCTAAGCAAAATCTCCCTGTGCCTTGGGAATGTGTCAAGAGTCAGTTCTGCTCCTGCCTGGGGCTGCCCAGAGGGGATATGTGGAACAGACTTTGCAGCAGAACTGCCTTTTTAAGAACTACCAGAGTGCAAAATAACCATTCACTCTGAGATTTTCTACTGCTGACAAACTGCCATGCCTTGAGCTTACTTTAGGGTGTGCAACACGGTGAGGGGCTCCAGCCTTTTTGTGAAGGAGTCTGTGTGCATCTGTACCACTATAGCTCTGCCAGCCCTGGCCACCCATCCAAAGCTGAATGCATGAGGCACTGCTCAAGTACCTGGTGGTGTTGCTCTGCCCCAAACTGGCCCACATGAGAAGTTCAGCAGGACCAGATCTCCTTCATGACTTGGGACATAAATGAGACAGTGTCCAGGACAGGGCAAGTAATGCATTGGTATCCCCCATGCCCATCCTAGGAGCAGGCAGAGTTGAAGTTGTGGGGCTGTGAGCTGAGAGCCAAGGAGGAATAGCTGGAGATGGACAGGGATCAGATGGATGAGTCCTGGCATGAGCTGATGCAGTAGAAAGAGGTGAACAGGGAAAGGCATCCAGCAGTCAGGGGAGAACGTTTGGAGCATGACTGAGGTCAGCAGAGCATCTGCTCTGCAATACACACCTGTACAGGGGCCATGAGCATAGCTGGGGCTTCACACCCCTCCTGAAGTCATGAATATTAATCCTAACCCTGAAGGGAAATAAGGGGATGCACCAACTTGCTCTGCCACAGGGCAGCAAGAGTCCCGGTCTCCTGCCTCACCAGCCCACCAGTGTTACAGTGCTTATCCCAGAAAGGGGAGCGAGCCCTGCAGGAAGCATGTGATGTGGAGTCTGAACACCAGGAAGGCTGCAGGCCATGCTGCAGCACTGTAGCAGCTGAGGCAGCACAAAGAGCTTCTGCACCAGCCAAATACCCTCTCACCTTTCCTCTTCAGCCTGGGGCCCCTGTGCCAGGGGCCTGAACCTTTGCCAACAGCTTCTCTTTCTCCTGGTGTTGGGTGGGATTGTCTAAGCACGGGTAAAACATGTGTTTTTCTACATGGCAGCTGGAGAGGATCACTTCTGAAGTATTTTAATTGGAAGTTAGTGGGTTCTGTATTGTGCTACTTGGCCTAACAATTTGTCTTCTAATTCTTAGAGTGCAGAATATAAATGTATTATAAATATATAAATACCAAGAAAACTATAAATTACTGTCATTTGCATTTTTCATAGGAACAATTGTCTAGGAAACACTGGCAATATGCCTGTGACTGAGCTAAACCCATCCTCAGAGTTAAAAAAATAAAGAAAGAAACCAATTACTTCATAGCAGTAAAGAAAGCATCTGTCATATGCTTTTTATTTAACTTTTTCACTCACTGGAATGTACAAATACTGATGGAATTCCTGGAACCAGAGTGAAACATGTAAATTTTGTTTTCCATGGAGAAACCAACCCTCATCGGGAACTCAACCTGCAATGAGTTCTTGGAGGAGATGATTTTTTCCTTACTCCCCAAACTTACAGCAACTGGCTGAATGCACCTGCTGCAGCATTGCCAAGTGGTTTTGCACTTCTGATGTATTCTCTGTGGGTATCCACATGTATGGTAAAAGGAGGAGAAGACATGGACAGACAATAAAATGGCTTTGTGGCACCAACAACAAGCTGTCATTTCAGCAAGCAGAACTGTCTGGCCTAGTTACAGGCTGGGGTGTGGGTAGAGTTTGGATGATGTGAGGTAGGGGCAATGGGGCGTTTGCACAGCTACTCCTGAAATTTTTGGCATGTCTGGGATTAGTCAGAGTCTGGGCAATGTAGAAATCTGACACTAAACTGCCTTCTGAGAAACACATTTTGCAGCAGCTTGAGGGTTGTGAGAACAATTTAGGCAGCCATTAAAAGCAAAAAAAAAAAAAAAAAAGGGGGGGGGGGGTGGGCTTTTTTCCCTAAGCTGACTGCTTCTTATAGTCACTGACATTTCACAGGTTTTCCGAACATAGAAGAGTAAGTATTTCTGCGTATTAAGTTGTAGCCCCGTTCTGCTTCTCTTCCCCAGGTAACAGGCAAGGCAGGTCAGCAGTTTCCCCGTCCTTTTAACTTCTTCTCCCATACAAGCTGCTAACCGGGGAAACAGAAGAAGTTACTTAACTGCTTTTACTTATGCATTTACTGCTTTAAAAATATTTTCAGCTTTGAGAATCACGTAAGTTTTCCTACCGGCTAACTGCTGAGGACTCCCCTTTCCCCCGGCAGCGATTAGGGCCGCTCCGCTCCTGAGGGAGGGGCGCGAGGCGGGAGCAGCGGCAGCCAGTCAGAGGAGACAGCTCAGCGAGACAGCCAATCAGAGGAGGACGCTCTGAGAGACAGCCAATCAGAGGGGCGAGTTCGCCGTCCCGAGCGGGTGGGGTGAAGGTGCCGCGGTGCTGAGGGGAGTGTTGTCGTGGTGCCGTGAGGAGCTGAGGTGGGTGACAGTGGTTGGTTCGTGTCAGTACCGCTGTACATTTAAAAGTGTTTAATGCTGGCAGAAGTATCATCCTGCATATTTGGTTTACTGGGTGGTGTTTCCTCGAGTCTTTGGAGAATGAAACAGGGTCATAGCCTGTTACAGCCTCGCTGTTTTTCATTAAAAAACTTTGAAGACTTCCTTGTAGCCTCACAGACTAGTATTTCTAAGTCCCACTTTTTTAGTTTTAAATTGGAAAGTTGGAACATACCTGGGTGCAGCGGTTTCGTTGTTTATTGAATGACACACCCTTAAGAAACTAGCGGTATTTGGAGTGACTACTGAGCAATTCACTACTTCTAAGTGTATTAATTCAAATTTTACCACTGGGACCGGTAGTTGCAATTCTGTAGCTAATACTTGAATTAATGCATGGCTAGATTGCTGTAGAGACGTTTTAGTGATACACATCCGTTCTGCTAAATTGCTGTTCTATCCATTGCCCTCCAGCACTTAAGGTGCAGATCCATCCCTCCTTACAAGCCCATCCCCGCTTGCTCCACTCTCCCGTACCCAATCTGTTGGATGTAGATCTGATGGAGGGTCCAGGAGGCTGTCCCAAGGGTTTTCTTTAGCATCTAGTGGTTTTGGTCCACTGTTTTGAACTATCCATGCACCCTCCCTCAGAAGGTTCCTCTCTTTGTTTTTATTTTGTTCTCTGTATGATTTTGTATACCTTATTCCCTGTTTTGTTTCTTTGCCTGAACCTACCTTTTTATCTCTCCTGCACTTTTCTTCCCAGACGCCTTTCAAGTAACCAACTACCCCCTAGTTACTTCTTCCTCCACTGGTTCCAATTCTATTACATGCATACCTGAAATTCCTATTTCCAAATTTGTTAGGTAGTCAGTTTTAGCCTCATATCATGATACTTACTGGTACTGCAAGACTGACTGAAGATTGCCTTCTGTCACAGGTTTCCTTTTTGGCCCTACAATTCATTTTAATTGAAATTCAATTACAGTATATCCTGTTTCGCATTCACACTGTGTCTCTGGCCTTATACAGTTTTTGCCTCTCTCCTGATTCCCCTCAGAAGCATCAACTAACTTAGAGACCCAGTGTTCCACTGAAGCCTCATGCTCCCAGTTAGCCTATACAATCTCCATTTCTCTGGTGAAATTGAAAGTGGGGGAAAGTCCCCTCACAAATACATGAGGCAGTGATAAGTTAATAATCTAGACAGTGAATTAGTGCCTTTAAAAACTAATCTATAATCCATAAAAATCATTAAATCAGTTAATTTAAGAGCTATTGCTTAAGGGAGGTAATTTGTATTGCCTACATTCACTTAATGACTCTAAAGGTTTTCTGAGACATAAACACCAAGAGGCATAGCAAAAAAAAAACCAAAAACACCAAACCAAAAAAAAAACGCTGTTCTTTCCAATAAAAATCAAGTGTTCGTGGTCTGTAGTTGGTCTGTTACATTCTTCCAGAGAAAGAGTACTGAATGCTTTGGGTAGCCTTCTACTAGAGGAAATTCAGTCCATGGTGCATGTGCTAGAAATTATGAAGCCATTCATGTTGAATCTGAAATTCAACCTTCTTTTTCAACATTTTGAGGTGATATAAAAAGTTTTTAACTGATCCATATTCTGTATGTCTTCCAGACAATTGAAATGTTGAAAACATCACAAAACAAGATGTTTGCGGCTTTGAAGTATCACTCAACAGACTATTTATATGAGGTATGGTTTTATTGTTTCTCATAATAGTCTGAATGAAATATAGCAGTTACTGATGAAAAGATTGAGTAGACATTAAAGAAGATAGGAAGAACTACTTTCTTTAGAATTCTCTTTCATAGAGGTTGTTGTGCTGCACTTTGTGGGATAACATAGTGAAGTGGTTACAGGTTTTTTAATAAAAATTTTAAGTACAGTTTTGCATACACTGAAAAGCATCAGTTATTTTTAGTGTCTCTTGCATTTACAATTTATTTATTGTGCACATTCAAGATTTCTGCTTAGAGGTTTCTTTGGAGAATACACTGTGCCTTCTAAAGCATTAATTTAAATTAATTACTTTCTGGATAACTAATCCAACTTTCTAGCTACTTTGCCATGTATTAGAGTAGTGATACACAATGCTGTATTCCTTAATGACTGTAGGGAAAAGTTTTTGCAATGTCTTAGGTTAAATTCATGGAAAGGAGATTTTTTTCTTTTCCACACCAACAATGAGTATTTTGGCTTTACAGATTTTGATCAGGTAAGCTCTAGAAGCCTTGTGTGTTTTCCTTCCTGTCTCCGTCTATGATGTTGCCAACCTCTTATCCCCGAAGCACCGTGTCATAATTGGGTTTTTACTAACTAAATTTTTCAAAGAAAAGCCACAGACTAAATATAAGGCTTCTCTTGTAGAGAAGCAGAGTGGTGCTTTGCCAGAAGGGGGCATTTGTAGTGTGCGAGCAGAACAATTCAGCAAGACATGATGCCTTTAGGAGTTCAGGGAGAGTACAAGGACAGACAGAAGTGCTCCTAGCACATAACTGGAAAATAGCAGCCTGGGAAGTGGTCCAGCAATAGTACTTGCAGTTAAACAGCGATCTGTGTTATGAAACATTGCCCACATCCCTTTCCTCAGAGTACAGCAGCTCTTCTGTATAGTGCTGGTGTATGAACCTACTATTTTCTTAGACTGTAGCAACCAGAACTTGTTTTCCTACTGTAATTCCAACAGTATGCAGTCTGTCATGCAGTCTTTGTGTGGAAATCTTCTCAATGTGGTTCCATTCAGCTTCATCACCAGTTATTTCCATGTTATCTACAAATAAAAAATAGATGTGTTGGCAAAAACATGTTATGGGCTCCATGGAAAAGAGAAGAATTACATGGCTTTTCTTGCCTGAGTTTTGAGGAGGATGGTGCTGACAATCAGGACAACTGAAAACATTTATAAGAGAAATGCTGAGTGACCTGCTGAATGGCTGCTCTGGAACAGTGTAAATCTTGCTCTGTAGTGCTACCAGAAGGGGTTAATGGATGTGGTCACACATTTAAAGGTATTACAGATCTGACTGTGCAAGGGACATGTTGTGCTCTTCTGGTTCCACTCTTGTGCCTAATTGCTACCCTCTAGAGAAAGATAAGTTGATTTTTCATGTATTGAGTGCACTTGACTGAAGCTTCCAGCTTTTAGAAAACACTGGAATTCAAGGACCTTATATCAAACTGCTTCCTGCACATATCTGACTCAACTGGATGCAGAATTCTGCTCCTAATATACTTGTTATGTACTTATATCAATTTCAGGTATAGTTTTTCCAGCTTCCCTTTATAAGTATCTTCAAAGGAAGGAGCCTTTTCCGTCATCCTAGATGCAAGAGTTACATATTTCATGCTCCTGAGTGTTGTAGATGTGATTGCAAAATCATCTTGGTAGTGCAAGGTTTTCTAATGTTATAAATGGACAATACATGCACACTGGATAGAACTGGGAAAATGCACGTATCTTTCAGTTAGAAGAGAAATGTGCAGAGACCTTTCTATTTTCTTCATAAACAGGGGTAAAGATGCACTGATTGAATGCTTCAGCCATTAATTGTGACATTGAAAAACAGTTTTATATATTTGAAAATTGCAAGAAAGGTTGTGTCTTATCAGATGTTATAAGTGAACTAATTCAGCTTAAACTTTACACTTAGAACTATTTCATTTAAAATATTTTGTAAAATGCACAATTTTCCTGGTTTAAGGCTATTACCTGTGATGATGGCTCTAGGATGTATTTCTTCCACTTCACAAATTTCAGTGACAGAAAACAATTTTTAGGTATTAAGCTAAAGTTAGCCTAAGTAAAACTACATAGTGGTGTTTCAAATTTCTTTCTGATCTGTTTTATTATTGTACATACTTATTTGTTCAGTAGCTTCTACTTCTATGGTAGCATTCTTCTTCAACCTAGGAGTCCTTTGACAACCTTCATGTGCCAATTCTGACAGCTTCTTTTAATGAAGAGAAGGGTTAGCCTTAGGATTTTCTGTTTCTGTTATCTCTATTAGGAAATTCACTAGCTGCCTTTTATTTTATAAATGCAGTTGTTTCAGCAGTAGCTTCAGTAGAGATTACCTAAACTAATACATGGCCAGTAACAAGACATTGGTCCAGCTGCCCATAGTTGTCTGATTCTGTCTTATTTATTCAGAATTTGTGAAAGAGATCACTGAGGAAATGCCATGCTTTGACTTAGGCAAGAGGGACTGCATTGGATCAGACCTGTTTTTTCACAAGAGCCTTTTAAGGAAAAGATCCTATGATGGCAAGAGTTTTTGCTTTTTTTGTTAAAATTAACTAGCATTTACAGAATTGTAACTATCAGCAAAGGTTTAAAGTGAAATGGAAAAAGAATTTGCATTAATGAAGTGACAGTCTTTGCTTTCATTGCTTCCCATGTGTTTTTATGTTTGTTTGTTGGTTTTGGTTTATTTTGGTGGGGTTTGGTTATTTTGTTGTTCTTGTTTTTTGGTTTTTTTCTTAGACGAGAAGGCTTGAAAATTGCACCAGTACCATGGTTGTTCTGGTTCCAGTCTGAGTCAGTGAAATATTCCAAATCTTTCTAGTGGTGTCCAGCATTACAAGCTCTATTGGCTTGACAGCATATGTTGGAATGGGTGGGGAGTTCTGGGACCTGAAGGAACATAGCTGAAGTGAGGCAATGAGTTTACAACTAGAGAAAAGTTTCTGGTCTCATTCTTTGTGTTATTCCACATGACTGTAGCTAGTTCTCTTTTCCAATATGCCTTTTACTCTACAGACCTTTAAAGAACATCTTCTTTCTTCTTCTTTCTTTAATCTTGTTAAACACAAATGTGTAAGTATAATTTTTCTTTGCTTCCTGAATTCACTGGTTATTCTGTGCTCTTTATACAAAACTGGGCATGGGTTTCTGTGACAGAAGAACTATAACATAGTCTATTAAACTTGGTATTCAGTGAAGTTACTAAGCTTGCCACATAGACTATTTAATTCCAGAGTTCAACTGATTACTACCCCACTTTTGGTGAAAATGAAAGGCTTTAAAAAGGCTTTCATTAGCTCATAATGGCGTATGAAAGACAAGAGGCCTTAGAATATTAAAAACACTTGAAACACCAATAGTAGGAATGATACTAAATTGTTTCTGGTCTTCTTATCCATGTGTCCATTCAGGAGACCATTCCAAGTGTTAAGATAAGCACTTGTAATTGCACATTCAAAGTTTAGGTTAGTAGCTAAATGTATGTGCATACTCAGAGGTGTAGATTAAAAGTTAAATAGCAAATCAGGTAAATGTTAATATCTTCTCTCAGTTTGGACTGTGTTAGCATTACAAAAATAAGGTTTAATTATAAAATATTGTGTTCTAGTAGAAAACCCTGGAAAGCAGTGGGAATGTTTGAAGAAGCAGTACACAAAAAGAATGGAACTGTCTGTCTCATGATTTTATCACATGCCTTTTTTTATTCAGAGCATGGCAAGGCAGAAGTTTTCCATCTGGAAATTATCACTTTGCTTTCCTCCCTGTTTACATCAAGATGAAAAGTATCATCTCAATGGACTCTTTGCTGATGATAAGTATAGGAAGCCATGGACTAGAAGTATGTTATATAATCCTTTAGTTTAGATTTTCTGTAGATTAAAGGAAAAGCTTGTGTTTATCCATAATATGATAAATCTCGTTAAAAAAAAAAAAGTATTTCCAGACACAGCATTATGCCAGTTCTTATTGCTCTTAAAAGTAGAACATCTTCATTGCCCAAATTGAAACAAATGGATATTTGAGTGGCATAATGAATGAGATGATATTTCATTAGTTTGTAGAGATCTCCAGAAAGACTTCTTTCTGGAGAAGTGTTTGTGGAAGAAAAGCAATGATCAGAGATAAGTAAAACACCAAATCTGATTAGCTGGTAGAGGTTTGGAAGATGATGCTGAGGTTATGAGATGTGGGGAAAAAGGAGGTTTTCAAATGACAAAGTAGATATACGTATAAAAGTGTTTGCATCTTACTTGTGCATTTGTATTACCTTTGCTAATGGAAACTAAAGGTGGTGTTTCTTCTAGACATTGTGTGTAAAGTTTGATTAACCTCTGCAATGATTTAATCAATATATTAAAATTAATTTTAATATTTTTTGCGTGACTTTTTTTCTCTCCTTTTTGTCTTAGTTGGTTCAACACAGAACATGATTGCTATTTCAGTATTGGATCAATGGAAGAAAAGTTTACTTGTGGAGGATTTCCTGGAAAAGTAAGTAACTTTAAATCATTTATGATTTCTTTGATATCATTCAGGTACTTTGTGAATTATAAGCTAATGATGAAAACAGTATATGGAGATGTTTCCTGACAGTAGCAAGTATGCTGGAGATGTACACACTACCGGATAGCTTAGAGATGCTTTTTTTCACTAAAGATTGTACTGTGGTTTTATGGAGTTCACTGTTTCTTTATATAATTTTTTTAATGGTTGTGTAATCTATTTATGACATTGGAGAAAGTGTCCTACATGACATGAAAATAAGCTTTTCCCCTCCCCCACCCAAGACAATTATCTCATGTAACTGTACAAGCTATATGACTTGAACATATTTTTCATACTTAGAATAGTCTGCATTAAAATATTTGCCATTTTCTAGAAAAGTCTTACTGGGACTTTGACTTTGGAAGAGGTGGCCTGTGTAGTCTCAAAACAAGCGGCTTAGGTTTGTTCTATCTATAAAACTGTAGTGAAACCCAGTGATTTCAGTGAAGTTGTAACTTGGGCAGTGTTTCAAGGTTCATGTATTTTCAAAGGCTTATGTCATGCAAAACTTTGATTACTTTGATTAGTTATTATCTGTACCACATGGTTATTACTTTTGAATTATACTACATGTAGTTTCAAAATTAACTTAATAATCAAAATATTGTAAAATAGTTGATTTTTTTAAGATGTGTAGCAAAGATTCCCTTCTATTGCTGTTTTCACATGAAGTCCTATACTGAGTTTCAGAGGTACACTTATACACTGATTGCTTTTATGAGAATTACCTTTAGATGACTAGCAAATAGCAAGATGGTGTAATGCTAAGTATGATTAAAAACATGAATAAATCAGTAGGATGCAAAATTGAGAAATCAGTTGTCTGAAATAAGAGTATTAAGTACAATAACTGTAGATGAGCTGATTTGGGTGCTTCAGAAATGTCAGCACTCGTCATAGTTACTATATTGTTGCAGTCAATTTATATGAGTAGCACAGCATTAACACATATTTTAATCAACTATTGTAACTGTTTTGTCCACATGGATGCTTGGCTCGGGAAAATGACGGACTTTTTTTTTTCCCTTCCCTAGTCAAATGATTTTCCTACTTATTTGGCAAACAGTAGGGAGGTTTTAATAATAAATAATATTATTAATAATAATTATTATTAATAAATAGTAGTAAATTAATAAATAGTAGTACAGAGGTTTGTATAAAAAGTTACAGGAAATTGAAGTGGTTTTGTTTCTTCAATTACACTCTTTTTCATATTGTTGTTACTTGCAATTTCTTCTTGGTTTTTGAAACAGAAGTGTACATTTAACCCAGCATCAAATTTTTGTCACAAATGTTATGACATCAATATCGTTGATGCCCTTTTCTTTTTGTTCAATTTGGTGCTGGATGTAAACTTAAAGGACTTTTTCTTGGGGAAGAATTGAACATGGTCAGTGTAGTTTGACCATGGATCCAGTGAATAGAGAGATCTCTGTAATTTCCAACCTTCTTTGGTGAGCACAGTGATTATCAAAGTTCTCAAAGCACGTAAGAGCTGTTGATTCACTGATAAGTCAGGGAAGTTATAACACTGATTTTGCTAAAGCTTAAGTGTCAGATATTTTTGTTTTGTTTTGTTTTTTAGGAAACCTATCTCCTCTGTAGAGTTTCAGGCTAGCAATGATTTAATAGAAGTTATTCCAAGCTCAAATCCTTGCTCTCAGACTGGCACAGAAGAGTGTTTTTTACTTACGAAGAATGGTTTTAAGGGAGACTCCACCCAAGACAAATATTTGAAGATTTACTATGCCACTGAATTTAAAGACCCACAGCAAGGTAAAATGTTCAATTCACTGTTTTCTAAGTTTTGGTGGAGTAATCTTGTTAACTTCCATAATTTTTTTGCACATGTTCCAGAGGCATTGATGAAATCATTTGGGTGATCAAAAACTTCGCAGTTGCATAATGTATAACCACTGAAGACAGATTTATTCCCTGGAAAAGCAGGGCTTGTGTTAATAATTCAAGAGAGATGCAAGCCAAAAGAAGTTTAAGATAGATTTATTTATGGAGATCTGTTTGAGTTAGCATCATAAAACAGTTTGGTGGGAACATAACCAGTATCCATCATTTCCAGGCATGATGAGAGAACAGAGAATTATTACAGATAGGGAATCATCCAAGGAGTCAAAGGAGGATGTGGGAATGAGGAGACTTCCATATTGGTAAAAAACAAGGAAGAAGAACAAAAAGCTCCCTTTGCCCTTCCATATTTATTATATATGTGTAAAACGTGTAAAATGTAAAATATCATACCGCAAATGTAAAGGAATGTGTAAAAAGTTGTTACTGGATCACTCCTGTCTCAGGAGAGCAGTAGTTTAAACTCAAAAGAAATAGAATAATGTGATGGCTTGAGTTGGAAAGAACCTTTTATGGGAATCCAACACCACTATAATCAGCTCAGGTCAGTCAGATACTCATCCAACTTCACCTTGAATGCCTCCAGGGATAGGGCATCAGTCACCTCCCTTGTTGTAAGAAACTGCTTCCTTACATCTAATTTAAATTATCCCCGTTTCAGTTTAAAACCTGAGACCTAAAAGGTCTATCCCTCCCTTTCTTATAGGCCTCCTTTAAAACCACAGTAAGCTTTTCCTGGAACCATCTCCTCTTCAGGCTGAACATATGCCAATTCTCTCAGCCTTTTCTCAAAAGAGAGGTGTTCCTTTCCTCTGATTGTTTTTGTGATCCCTCCTCTAGACCTGCTCCAAGAGATCCATGTCTTTTTTTCTACTGAAGACCCCAGAGCTGGATGCAGGGTTCCAGGTGGAGCAAAATGCCCTCCCTCCCCTGCTGCCCACACTGCTTTGGATGCAACCCAGGACACGTTTGGCTCTCTGGGCTGGGAGTGCCCATGGCTGGGTCATGTCCAGCCTCTCACCCACCAGCACCCCCAGTCCTGCTCACAGGGCTGCTGTTGATTGTTGATGACTGTGTTGATATGATGATGTCATCTTTCTTGAAATCATAGTAATTTGCAACCTTTTTTGTAATTTTTTTCTTCTTCAGAATTAGGAAGTCTGCATTTAAGTTTAGGCATGTATGGAGAGAGTGCCTCATTTCTACATTTAAAATTGCACTGAGCTAAGTTTCTTGGCCAGAACCCACCCCAGAAGTTCCTTTATCATACTTGAAAGTACAAACAAGGAAACAAAAAGAAAATACCTTTTGTTTTAACAGGTATTTTGTAAGACAAAAGAAAATGCTGAAGAAAACTAGAGGTTATCATATTAACCATGGAAGTCTAGACTTTGTTGCACTTTAAATGTTTTGGGATTTTTCAGCTTAAAGTAAAAAGCGTTGTTGTTTTTCTGACATTCATAGTATTCCAACAGTTGCTCAACAATTCTCTTTATTCTGATAATTCTTAGTACTTTTATCTTGTTTTATAATGTGGTTTTTTTCTTCTATTTTCTTCTATTTAATTCTTCTATTTGTCAGATTTATGTTTGGAAGAGGAGTTTGTTTTTATTGATAATCTGGAAAATTTTCGTAGAAAACTGCCAACATTATCTATACTTCTGAGCAGACTACAGTTTTTTTTAGTGAAAGATCCCCTTTTAGATTCTGAAGGACAGATTTTAAGAGCAGAGAATATTTTCAGGTACCTATAAATTACTGTGTAATATTAAACATAAAAAATAGTCTGTGTATAATGCCATTAACATTTTGATGTTTGTTGTGTATACCTTTTTAACTAGTTTATATTTGTAACAGGTAAAGGCTTCAGCTTTTCATCTTAGGAAAAAATGAGGAGGGTGAAATTTATATGCATTAAGAAAACTGAATTAATGAAATTGTGTCATTCTATAGGTGTGAAATGCAATCAGGTTATTCGTTTTGGAGTACTAAAAAAATGTACGTCTTTAAGGGACCTTGTCCTTCCTCAAACTGACCGATTCCCTTTCATGAAAATATCACTATATTTAGTAGGACTAGGATTTTACACATGCTGCAATGTTTCTTTTTTCTCTCCTCTCAGATGTGTGACCAGTAAATCTATGCTTCTACTCTGTTGAATTGTATTTCTTCAAGTTTAAATATAAATTATTCTTACAGTTTTGCTCAGTTTTGTATTGCTAGGTTGATTGAATTTAATTGAATGATATCTATGTAATGAATGTAAACAAACCAGTACATTAAAACATATATGTTGTATCAAAAATGGGCCTAGTATTTTGTTAATATACTCATTGTGTACATACATTCATAGTCTGGCTAAATCTTGTGCTGATTTACTTCATGTCTGGACTACTGTATTGCTTCCTTTGCACTTGGAAAGGTTACATGACTGACAGGAAAGATAAAGCAGATTTTAACTGAACCGACTGTATCCATATAGTAGAACAAGGAGGAATGGTGTTGTTTGCCTGTTTTTTCAGACATGAGCCCCAGTCTCGCAGTGGCTCTCGGATGTAACACTGGTGAATACTGTAAATAACCAGAGAAGATAACATGATCCAAATTCTATGACTTTCAGAAATACCAGCAATGTGAGGAAAAAATGCTAGTGTGAAGCTTTATAGAAATAGCTCTGATCTCCTGATCTGTGGTTGACTAGCAAAACCGCAGACCTGTCCAAGGTGGGAGTCCAGATCTCCTAGTGCAGCACACAGGGAGATGCATTTAGAGAAAGTGACTTGATTAGACAGACTTCAACTTCAGTTAATATTCATGAGCATCTCAAGGCTGGACACAGAACAATTTGTACTCTGTGGTGTAAAATATTCCTCCAGAAAATAGTGGTGGACTGATGAGGAAGTTGCTCCCCTAAAAAGTCACTATAGATTTAGTGTGTGTAACTGGCACAAAGGGCCAGATGAAGCGTTTTCTTTCTGCCTGACAAATCATCCCTGTGCTGCTTGTGTCCTTGCTTTTCAATGCAAGTAGTAGCTTCATTCCTGACTTTCACTTCCAAGTTTTTCAGTTAAACCAGGAACATACTCTTAGTTTTCACTTTAACTAGTAATAAGCATACTCTGACTTCTTTCATGCTGAATCTTTCCTGAAAATAGAAACTGAAGGTGGCAAAATAGAAATAAGGCAAACAGATTAGAGATTTAATGTATAGTAAAAAAAAATTGACATTGGAAGAAATTAGATCTGCAACTTTTGCAGGAAGCACTTATACATGAGGGGACTTATGTACTGGCATGTTGAAGAATTATAATATGAAGGTTTTTGCTATAACTGTTTAAGGTAGGCCTCAATATTAAGCAGTTCTTCTCTGCATATAATGTATTATTTTTTGAAAAATTTTCTTGATTAATTACACAGATCAGTACAACATCACTTGGAATTGCCTTCTTAGAAAAGGCATGGATTTAGAAAAACTTTGGCATGTATATGGCTATCAAAAGTATTGCTAAGAGTTTCTTAGACATTAAGTAATACAAATAAGTCACTTATTTTGTTTTATGATCTTTTAAAGGGAATGTTTGACTTCCCAAAATGAAATTAAGATGGAAGAGAGTCAAAATGAATTGCAGGGGATTAAGGAGAATTTCTGTACTGTATCTATAAAAGATGAAGAGGTATCATTCTATTGTTTCATACTATATATTGCATTAGTGCTTGTTCTACATAATGGATATGTATTTGTTCACATGCACGTCATCTTACTGAGTTCTTTTGATATTTGCCAAATATTTCAAGCTTTCATGTTTCAAAGATTAGAAAACACTGGTATCATTTGTGGGTTTTTTAATTCTTGGATGCTGTTTTTAGGAGTTTCCACTCTGACCAACTATTTCTCCTGACACCTGATGTGTTTGCAGTTTTATGTAGATATTTGTTACACTAAGAATAAAAATTAAAGAACAGGAAGCCATGACATGAGCATGGGAAAGGGAAAGCTACAAGACACATTCTAGAATTTGGGGGAGCAGCTTGGCTTTTTTTTTAGAGAAGTCAAATCTACTTTTTTCTCCATTTTTCAAAATTGTAAAAAACAAACTTTCAGTAAAATAAATTGCAATTGTACTTGGTCAGGAATTCTATGACACATTTGTTACATGCCACTGACTCAGTAAGTTGTGTAACATTGTATTTTACTCTGTATTGAGCAGAGCTTTCTATGTGCTGTGTAAAAGTCAAGTGATTTCTCTCGTAAGAGCTCTTAAATTAGTTTAGAATTAAGTTATTTCAAGATTTTGAAGAAGCTTTGACTGTACAGTAATATCAAAGGAAAACTACTGTCCATTCTGTTGTGATTAATATTTTTTCAGTATTTCCTGTTACCTGCTGAATTAGAATTTGGCAAACCCAGCAATGGCAGATCTGATTGTGTTAAGATTCCATCATACTTGCAACTGAAAGAGGTGTTAAATTTAACTCCAGTCACTGTAGATGATGAAGACCCTTGCAAACAGGTGATCAGAGAAGGTGAGAGCTGGCTTTCTTAAGTGCTTGACCTGATTTTCCTTTCATTTGAATGCATTTAACACAGTCAAGCTCTTTTATACTGAGTACACTTAAAAATTACTTCACAGCTTATCAGATGAGAATTTCTGTGGATGAACTAGGACCTATGTTACACCCAGATTTCTGGTATTAGAAATGCCTCCTTAAGGGGTAGTAAACTGCTTGCCATTTGACTTAGTCCATGTAATATGAGCCATGACTTGTGATATATAATCAACCATAGCTATTATAATTTGGTCTTTTGTTCTTCAATATGTTTTTAAGTTTACTTTCAGGGACATCCCTAAGAGGATTATATGCAGAACAGTCAAAAACAAAAAAATGTTTTTGTTGCATTGTAATTGCAAACACAAAAACAGATTTCTGGGGGAAAATGGTTAAATATTTCCATGGATAAGAGGATTATTCTCAATGACAGTAATAGTTTCCTTAAAGGAATTTTAGAAAAATTACTAAATGCTTTTAGACTACTGATAAATATAACTTTAATGACAGTTATTGGCTGGTTGATGTGAATCCATTATTAATGGATTGATTTGTATGACAGTATTTGTTTAGTTAAAAGAGAAAAGGCATTCCCTGAGGGCTGGTTTGTTGTTGTTTGTTTTTTTAAGCCAAAATAAGTAATTTTCCAATTTTTGGTGGACATGAGGCAGTTCAAAGAAGGAAAATTAATGCTTCTGAGGATGGAGCACGTTTGCTGAATTCCGTGTCTGATAGGGCAGCAGTTTGAAGTAATCCAGTCTCTTACTGAAGATAGAAACAAAACTTTTAAAAGTGGATATTTGACTAAGACAGTTTCATATGCATTCCCCTGATACATTTAGTATGTGCCATGTTTCAACCTGCGATTGCAGAGATATGAGGATTCCGTATACAAATGTCAACCTATTGGGGTCTTTTTGTTCTGTTTTAGTCCTATTTTAGTAGCAAAAGAATCCACATACACATACTCCCAGTAAACTATATTTAGGCTACTTAGTTGTTCTGGAAATTGTGGGTGGGGATTTTTTCTGTCGCTTAGGGGACAAGACTGAGTACAGCTCTAATCAGCTAAAGCTTCTGGGGTTACTAACCATGACTAATTTTTCATAGCAGTATATCATGGAGGTTCAATAAAAATACTGAAAGCTCTGGCAGGAAAAATTAATAAATGGTTCATTTATGGCACCTTTTAAAAATCTGTTTTCAGATCTCAAAGCAGCAATTACATACAAAATAGAAATTTCCAAGTACTGTGCCATTCCACAAGAGGTTTGCTCCAGTATTAGCACAAGTATGTTGGAATTCTGTGAGTCAGGTAGGAAGATCTGTATAAATCAAGATATAAAAATCAAAAATAAATTCTTCAAGTAGTTTTTCTAATACTCTGTTCGTGGTAGAACATGTACCACATAGATAAGAAGATTCACTTTGTGTAGTCTATTATTTTGTACCCGCACCATAAGGCGGGAGAAGTGCTATACTGCTCTCTAGAGCTTTATAGTCTAAACACAAGCAAGTTTACAATTCTTTAATGTTGTTTTTGGCTGTAAGCGATGTCTATGACTTTTGCACTTTATTAAATTTTTAGCTCTTTTTTTATCTAACAGCTCATCCACCAAGAGAGGGCAGATGAAAGTTAGGGTACATTGATTGAAATTGTGGAGTCAAAGGACACAGTTTAAAGTTTGTTAAAGTCTAATATAAATGCTTTCAGAAGAGGGTGGTGGAGAGCAGTTCAGGTAGAAGTGCTGTGTTTGTAAGTTCTAGAGGTTCAAAACTAGAGGTGCAGACATTCTGTTTTGCGAGTGGTTCAGTAATTACATGTGATTGAGAACTTAAGCCAGAGCTGTTTTCTACAGAAATAAACTCAAACTGTTGAGTATTTGCTAATGTGCATTGAATCCTTGCTTCTCCTTCACTGAGATCAGGAAATAGACTGTGTGTCCAACTTTAATAGCTTGAAAATCCAAGTCATGGTGTTTACACCATCGACCAATACTGAGCAGCTTTGCTCAATCTCGTTGTCCAGCCTTAGCTGAAGATTTTTCAGGTTCCTAGTGTAACCTTTCAAAATAATGTACATTCTTTGCCAGCCCTACTGTTTTCACAGCTAAATTCTGCTGACTAATGAGGCAGAAAAATGGCTGTGCTTGTGACATTTTTCACCTTTCATTTAATGCAGAAAGGCCTGCACAAGGAGCAGCATTTACAAATTCATGTGATCTGAGCAGAGTGTCAATGCATGATTGATTATACATGTATGTCTTATCCTAATGTATATACTATCTATGAAAAGATCTATCCATTGTTGCATTGGACAGTAGCAGTATTATCCATCAGTGCTTGTTCACTTGATAGTTTTCCATCCAGAAGTTGCTAAAATACTTGAGAAAGGTTGAGTTCTTTCCAGACCAAGACCCTTCTTGCTATCTTAGTTTCACCAAGTTTAAGCTGAGCTGATAGTTGTCCCCTGCAGGCCAATAGTACTAATAGTATTATGCTTCAGATACTATATTGTAGTGGAATTTTGATTTGAACAATCATGTAGTTTGAAAGTGTCTGAAATAAAAGCTCAATGCAAACACACCAAATTCCACCAACATAAAGTTAAGATTATTTTACATCTGGAAATTGTTGTCTAGCATGATAAACTGTAATTTGTGTCTAGTCAGCTGACTGCTCTTCACTTCTAAAGCTTACAAGCAGGAGGGGCTTAAGTGCAGTAGATCAGATTCTTCCCTTGTATATAGTAATAATAAATTGACTATGATCTTCTCTAGGCTATTGTCCATTCTGCAGTAGATGAGTAGTCAAGACCTCTTGAATTGTCCTTTAAAGAAAGTGGCTGCATTAATCTTTGTTACCAATTGCTCTCTTAGCTCTGCTGTTGAATCAGGCAGAATTATATTGTTGGGGCATAATCAGCTTCGATCTCGCTCTCTGTCTCTCTCTCTCTCTCTCTTCTTTTTTTTTCTTTTTTTTTTTCCCCAGGATAGACTCAGGTCTGTAGGGTAAAGATCTACAAATGTGTGGAAACACTGCTAGAACACAATTTGACAGTAGAAGTTTCTGTATTGGGTGTTGGGTTTCAGCTGAGACACATGACAATCTTCTTCTAATTAATTTTGCTCTTTATGAGTTACCAGAAGTGAAATATGTTTGCTTGAATTCAGAGAAGAAGCAATCATAAGACTAAGCAGTCTTTCTCTAGTCATTGAGTTTGTTTACAAAAGGCATTAGGAGATAAGTTAGTTCTCTGAGTTAGCAATGTTCTGAGAAGGGGAATGTTACTCTGAGTGGAAGCAGAGTTTAACTAACGTGGCTGATAAAAAATTCCACTCTCAAAGGCAAAAATAACTGGACAAGAACAAATATGAATAGTATTGCTCAAAGAGAAAGAATTGTTATTTTTAGATGTGGCAGGTATTTTTACTGTCCTGAGATCAGCTTCTGTCCTGTTCAAAGTAAAGTCTTAAATTTGTCGCTCTTCACAAAAACTGGTTTGAGAGCTGAAGTTCACAGCGTAAGTTCATTGAACCTTTTTAGTTCTAAGTAAGAGGGAAAGAAGTTATGCTGACTGGAAGTATGTTGCTTTCTTTTGTACCCACTTTTATTTCTTACCTTTTTTTCCTGCTTTTCTGGTATGGTTGTGTCTGCTGGCTTTATATCACTGTCCTTTATCCTTCCTGCCTAAGAATTGTCTTGTTAGGTCCTTCAAGGAGAAGCTGTGAGCAGCTGGGCAGGTGACTGATTCATAGCCTGCTTTGTGCCAATTGGCCAGGCAATGTGGGTATGATGATTGCATCTACTTACTGCCTGGTGGAATGAATAGGGAATTCATTATATGTGTTTTTCCTTGTGGCGGCACTGATTTATTCACAATTTTTCTGCTTTACTTACCACAGAACATGGAACAACTGTGGTTTTTGTGATTTCTATTTTCTAGTTAGTAGAATGCCAGAGAGATTAATGCCAGGGCAATCATGTGAGCCACCAAAATCAATGAAGTTGCAAATTTGTAGTTAGATTTGAAAAAACCCAATAAGCATTAATATGTCCACATTTAATAGGATTGGGAGGGAAAAAAAAGAATGTTTAAAGTTACTTGTAGAGGACTTTTATCATTCCAAGTTTGTTTGTATACTGCTTAAAAAAAAACCCTTGCTGTTGTAATTTCAGTGTAAATTCAGTGATCAACCCTAGAAATTTCATTGAGTACTAATTCTGCTTGAAAGAGTAATTTTCTCATTAAAATCCTGACTGCTCTTGAAGTTCCTGAGGCTGTTCTTACAGCTGCCACAATATTGCATGTAGTCTCTCTCCCACTTAATTTACTTAATTTATGGAGGAACTATCTAAGAAGACTAACTGGCATAAATATCAAAATCTCAGCCATAGTACCTGATGATTTAATTATAAAAATAATCTTACGCGCAAAGTGTATGTACCCACAACTACATCAAATGAATGGGATCTACAGTTGTTTCCCCAAACTGTTTGGAAATCAGATGTGAAATATTTGGGGTATGTAGCTTACTGAATTGTGCCATGAAAACATTTTCTATTTTAATCCAAAACTTCACTAGTGTAAGATTTGTAAGCGTGTGTATTTCATTCAAAAGTAGCTTTGTGATTTTGATTTTTATTTTTGTTTTGGGTGGGGCTTTATGCAATTTCCAGTTGAATATATTCCATATTTGAAAGATGAAATGGAAATGCCTTTAACTCCTCCATGCAGACAACAAAGATCATGGGTTAATTTTCTGTGCAGAGGACTTCAAGAAGAACCTATTTCTCTCTCTGGTAACAGGTAATAAGACCTTGATAGTGTCAAATTCTGTCCTAAATCCTCAAAATAATTGAAAAAATAACTTCAGTGTATTTATGAATTAGTACTTAGATTCTTTGAGCTGCATATATATTGTGTTTTGTGTGAAAGAGTGATGGAATGCACAGTCCCTATGTGTGGTTTTCTAAAGGAGCCTGAAAAAGGAAAGGGAAATTGCTTCCATAGACCTTTTTCTCTTCTAGCCTGAGAATCCAGTCTCCTTTTTGCAGTAAGCAACAGTAAATATTTAAAGCATTTAGCAAGCATGTGTATGGGCATATGCATATTTATACCTATGGCAAGTACATATGGTGCACAAGTATCACCTGCAAAGTATCCAGAAGAATATACTAAGAAAGTATTGTCTGTTTTGGGGATATCCTCCAACAATGGATTTCAGGCCTTTTTATGCCAGCATAGGATTAGGATTGCTCCATCTTTTCCTTCTCATTTTATTTGGGACTAGCATTTCGTGCCTTGCTATCTTTCAAACATATTCAGGAAGAATTTCAATATCCCTTTGGGGTAGGAACCATGGTCTAGACAGAATTCTCATTCAGTGCTGCTCTAGTTCATGATCCAGCCTTCATGGCTTCTCCTCTCACTCTTTCCTATTGTCCTTTGTAAGGATGGGAAAAAATGAATGAGTGAATGAACGAATGAATGAATGAATGAACTGAAAATTTAAAGACAGAATATGTTTAAAAGGTAGTTTTATATAAATCAAAATTCAACAGATAATGCTGCTAAAAGTCATACTGCAAGTTGTTTTATTTATGTTCTTCGTAGTATTTTGATTGCAGAGCCCTCTAGGGAATTCTTAGAATCTTTGGTTTGGCAATCAGAGAAGTATCGGGATAATATGAGCTCTCTTTTGCTTGTTGGTAAGGATTTCTAATTGATGATCAATTTCTAACTGATGCTTACAAGTTCCATGTACACAGAGAAATATAGCAGAAAAGATAATGTTATATTACAGAGCACATATATTGAGCCATTGGGGTTTATCCAGTTACTGTAACCCTGCGAAGTTTGGATTATGTGATTATTTTAGTACATATAAAAAGTAACAGTGTGGCAACATAGAAGTTGTTATGCCGTGTATCCTTCTACAGAGGTACTTTGAATAAAGTAAGAGTTTGGGTTTTTTTTATGACAGTGTTCACTACTATTCACTATACAATAACTAAAAACTGAAATTTGGTAATCTGTTTAACTCTTTCCTGTGTGCTATTTTCCTTTAAATAATGTTTCAAAATATGTAGCAACCAATATAATAGTACTGTTGATGGAAAATAATATTGTAACTTTAGAAGAATTGAAGAGAAGCAGAATACACAAAACCAAAGCAAGCTGCAGGCTATTCATGAAAGTGCCAGAATATATATTACCACTGTTCTTTCTTTTCACTTTATTTGCCGCCATTTTACAAGTCTCAGGATTAAGTTATGTATATTGGCATGTTTTGTTGTCCAATTCATTTGTACATTAATTTATAGTTGAAAATAATATGTGGTATGCTCATTACTGTTGCAGTTAATTTTTTTTCAGGTAAGGATTATGATAAGTCTTTGTAACCATGACAATAACCCACAGATAATTAACAAGATAATTTGTAACTTTAGTAATTTAACACCTACACATTATAAGTTCTGAAAAAAAATTGAAACTCTTGCTCCTCTTACAGAACTCAGAAAAGCATACTTGCTCTGATAATGTTAACTGCTTTGGTCTTAAATCTATTGATGGACACAGAGTTAAAATTGGAAGAATGAGTAATAGATATATGTAGTAGGCCAGCAGTACTTTGGAGCTTTCATTTCCAAAATGACATACTGTTTTCATCTTTCTAGTCTATCGATAGTATGTGTTAATTTCTGGTTCTTTTGCAGAGCACCCAGATGTTAACCTTGCACATCAGCATCATTCACTGACTGAACTACAGAAAAAGCTGCCAGTTGAGATCGAAGCACCAATGCTTGGATCACTAGAGGAGGGCTGGTGGCTTCATACGGGTTTAAGTCCAGCAGCTGTAGAAATTTTGGAACAATTTAATATGGATGGAAGCAATGCAAACAGTCTACTTCCTACAGAAATAGAAACATTCACAAAATTTACATTGTATCAATTAGAAAGTAAGTATCTTTTTTTTAGAAGAAGTTATATAAAGGCAAAGATAGGTACATTAACAGAGAGTCACACAGGGAGTTACATATCTCCAAGAACAAAGGAAATTAATTATTTCTTGCTCTTAAGAACAAAATGCTTTACTTTAAAATGAAGGAAGGGCACTAATGCAGTTAAGGTGTACTTCACTAACTTAGAACAAATTGTAGAAATGAAAGTATTGATCTACACAAAGTCATCATTTCTATAAGTGTGAAGATGAAGAATAGCATCCACCAGTCATTTTTTAATAAAATAGTTTCATATAGGAGAATTTCTTAAGAAGTAGCAGTTTTGCTTTGGAATATTTTAATAAAGCAGATATTCACATATTCCTACCTGCACAAGGTCAATGGGGTGAGTATGTTACAGTGAAAATTCCTTATTTTGTGATGGTAGAGGGTTTTTTTAATGCAGACTATTTCAAATTTGAACAGCTCATCACTTCAGAATTTCTCATGGGCATTTTTTGCATACTTATAATCAAACTCCAACAAAAAACGCATGAAGTTATTCAGATTTTGTTGGATAACTATGGCCAGAGTGCAAGGCACCAGTTGTGGTTGTAGAATGCCAAGGATTGGCAGTAACATGATATATTGTGAAACTTATAGATACTGCTCATGCAAGAACATTTCCAATTAACTGCCTTTTTCATTTCTTTAATTGTTTAGCTACTGTGTTTCAAATGAATGTGCAGCCACAATGCAAAAAAGTTGTAGTTCTACTGAGGCATATATTCAGAGGCAACTGTTTGCATTCTTCATTTTTCCCTCTAAAAAATAAAAAAATACCAGTTTTTCTTCCGAATGAAATGTGTTGTATCCCACTTCCTAGAACTCTAACATCAATAAATCCCATGTAGATGGGATTGTTTGAAAAATTCAGACAATAGCATAGCCTTCTGTGTCTTAATATTGTGTATTTTTACTTAGGATTAGTCAGTGCAAGTTTTCTGAAAAGGGATCCTAGTGATCTGAGAAGGCAGAAAGAAGTTTTTAAAAATGCCTTCTCTATCAACCATCCAAAGTCCTCAGCTCCAGTGAGGAGGGAGAAAAGAAAAACATTTATGTCAGTGCTAAGAAATTGAATTGTATTTTTCAGGATGGCTTGAAGAGAAGAATTCTGTTACAAACCAAGAGCTGCTGTCTGCTGAAAGACATCAGTCAGAGAAAGTAGTTAACCCTGACCTGTCACTGCAGATTCAAAGGCAGTACTTTGTCACAAGTGCTGTATCATCTGCCAACATTCACAGTACAAATACATCTGTGGAAGAGCTTACTGGAGGAAGCATAAGAAAGATTAAGACAGAAGAGGCAATTTGTTTCTTAAACCAAGAAAAGAAAATCCCCAAACCATCTGAATCAGAGAGCTGTAAAGATGCGTCTTCCAAACTAGACAAATCATCCTGTAGTGGAAAGCCTGCATCACTTGCACTTGCTTCTAAATGGGCCAACGATGATTCTGATTTGAACAACTTTATTATGATGAGATCTAAGCATATAGTCACCCTAAGAGAAGAAAAACATTATGTAGATAGACATGAAAATGGTATGTGAACCAATTTATTTTTCAATTTTTCCAGATTTAATTCTTCTCTATTTCACTAGTTACCATAGGTGCTAATTCATCCTAGTCGGTTATTTGAAGTAAATTGGCACCATTTTTATGATCTTAAATGCAGATGAATTTTTAGCTAAGTATCTTACTTTTTGTTGTTTTCCTTAAGATATATTTCTTTATATGGTATACTTGGCATAGGGGAGTGCTCTTTTTTTGGGACAGGATTTTTTTTGTGTTGGAAGTGGTATTTCATAAAATAAATATTTGAGTTTATTCCGATTCTGACAAAGTAGCTCTAAATGGTACTTACTTCAGGAGATCTCTTCCATCCATATGTTCTGAATCAGATCTCATGGCCACTTTGGAGAAGTAGTAATCCTCAAATTCACTGTAGTATCAAACAGCAAATATCAGTACTCTCACTTCTGTAGCCTAGAAAATGAATAGGAGTTCTTAATTTTCTGAAATGAACAGCTGATTCATTTGAGCCAGCTACCTTGGTGCAAACCCCATCAAATCATCAAATAATGCAGAACAGGTATTAGGGAAAACAGAAAATTGTTCGTAGGCCTGTTCTCACTGATGGCAGTACATGGGAACTAGCTGAACTTTGTGTTCAGCATTGAAGAAATGCAAAATAGCTGAGAGAAAAAAAAAGTGGAAGTATTTTGTTTGTTTTTAAAAAGAAGTATCTGTGACATAAAGTAGCAGGTGACAGTGGCATACCTCCAAATTCACTTTCCAGGATAAAATTATATGGAAAAATGAAAGAATTTTTTTGGCTTGTATGGCAGAATTTTGACAATAACTTTTATCTGTGCTTTAGTTAAATGTCCCAGCATTATAAAAAAAAAAAAAACAAACAAAAAACCCAAACAAAAAGAAAAAAAAACCCAAAACCAAAACTACAAACAAACAAAAAAATGCCAAAACCCCAGTTGTTACTGGGGTTTAATTTAATAGCAGCAATAATTCCTGTAGAATTGGGATATTTGTTTAATTGTAATCTTATGAAATCTTATGTATGTAATTATTTCTTGGTAAAATTCACGTGTTTCTGACACTGTCAGAGATGCATGAAACTTTTCATGGCGTCAGAAAGCAATAACCCAAATTTTATAAGAAACCGAGGTACCTGAAGTTTTATGCTGCCATCTAGTGAGCCTTGACCAGAACTGCGTCGCCTGACAAGGATGAGGTATCACATTCACCAATAGACTTGAGGAGGTTTAAGAAGATTCAGTGCAGATTAGGATGTGTACAGGTAGACCCCAGTGTCGCAGATCCATTACGCCTGATATTTAGAGAACCCATTAAAATACAGGGGTCTGTGATAAGCCACATCGATGTAGAAATTATATAAATCATTGCATCCTTTTGCAATAAAGAAAAGTTTTTGTCAAGGGTCGCACTACTGAAAGCTAGAAGGGCCAGCAGTGGTTGTAGACCTCTTCGTTGTTTGATTCATTTTTTTAAAATATCATTGTGTGTAATGTTTAGAAAATACACAGGAGGGAAGTAGTAGAAACAATTCAATGATCTAATTTTAAACCCCAGATATATTTTCAAAATAAGGCAAGTAATCTGAGTTAACTAGAATAAAAATTCAGTTCTTCTTTTCCTTCTGTCTCTGTATTATTATCCTGTTTTCTGAGGAAAGTGGCATTCTTAAGTAGAAAAATCAGTAATATTTAGAAGAATATTCTTATTCAATAAGAACCCCTTTCCCAGAAAAATAATCAGAAATAAAGAGAAGAAGTTTTGTGGCTAGAAGTTGTAGCTCTTGCATCAGTAGGTATCAGGAAGAAGGAAAGGCCACATAGAAGTATTAGCACGTTTCAAAAGATATCTAGAAGACAGAATAAAAATTATTTTCAATATGCAATTTTTTCTCTTTTTCCATTTGCAGCTTATATGTTCTTTCTGCATGGTTTAAAGTGTCTAACCTTTTCTACTCACACTTCATGTTGTATTTTTCATAATTTGAACTCTTTGTGGTCAGCAGCATCTTTCTGTCATGAATGGTTTTTTTCTCCATATAAAGTCATATGAGGTTTCCTGTGGAGCTATATTATAGAGCAGTAGTACCAGCTCCTTAACTCTCCCAGCTCTGTATTTCTGCCCTTAGGAAGAGCAATATAATAATGCCTGACTTCTTGGGCTGTGAAGGCAGACAAGGCCTAATCTGTTTTTGTGCCTTGAGGGTTTTTGTACTGTAAAAGCCCATGAAAACAATAAAGAAATCATGAAGAGAAAATGTATGTGTCACAGAAACAACTTAATTTGAAAGTATTTTTGCATTAGAGTGATTTATAGAACAGTTTTATTAATCATTGAGCTAGTTTTGTAATATTTATAGCTAAATATTCACTTGTGGTTCCATTATTTAGTGGTACAGCCTGAAGAGCAGCATATGTGTGTTCACAAAGATGATGATTCTTTTTGTGAGACTGTAAAAACAGAGGAAAGATCTCCAGAGAATGAAGACAGTATCACTGTCAATATTCAACCATCAGGTATACACTATTTTTGGAACTGCTTTACCTTCTCCCAGGTAACAAGTAACAGGACCAGAGGAAATGGCATCAAGCTGCACCAGATGAGGTTTAGATTGGATATTGGGAAAAACTTCTTCATTGGAAGGGTGGTCAGAAACTGGCTTCCCAAGGTAGTGGTGGATTCACCATCCCTGGAAGTGTTAAAAAAACCGGAGCATGTGGCATTTGGGGCCATGGTGGTGCTGGGTTAACTGTTGAATTCAATGATCTTAGTGATTCTGTGCTTCTACATAATTTTGCAATAGAATTTTATATTAAATAATTTTACTCAAACAAATACAGAAATTATTAGACTTAGTCTCTTCTCTGTGGCTGAAAGTATTGCAAGTAACAGAAGCAAGACAGATATTTATTTTGCAAAGAGGTGAGAGCAAACTATGTAGCTCCATCTTAAGACTAAAGCAAATTGCATGCAAGGTGAAAAGAGTAACTTGGACTTTGAGTTATGTCTGATCAAAATTAGCGGGCATGAAATCTCTTAATGCCAGTCAGTACCTTCTGTTTATTATTCTGCACATTTCTGTCTGAGTAAATGAGAAATGGAGATGAAAGAGATCAGCAGTCATTTTGATAGGAAAGGTCTTTAGCACAGTAGAAATAAACTATGGGTTTGTGTCATACATGACTGGGCCTTACCCCTTGAACTCTAGCTGTTGTAAGATGCATTGTATCAAAGAACATAATGGACAACACTTTTCTCATGCACTAGAAATGGTTGAGAACCTAGAAAATATTTATCCAAGCTATTATAAAGCCTCAAATTAAAAATACCCAGCCCTAGGAAATTTCAGGCTTAGCACAGATTAGTTGGTTTTCCATGGAAATGCATTCATTCCAACCCATGTGCTGCTTAATAAGATTTTCTTTCGCAGAACCAGTGAAAGAGTAGTCTTCTCATCTGTTCCTGAGATGGGAATCATAGCTTTAAGCTTATTTTTAAATTACTTTTTTCTAATTAATTTTGAAGCAAAATTCCTGTAATGCAATTGAGGAGAAATTTTAAAGCGTTTCTGCAGTCAAGACAAAAATAATTAGCATTTTTCAAATTAGCATTTTGAAAATGACTATGATGTAGAAACAGGCTACTATAGAACAATTGAATAGTAGAACAATCTTAGTGTGAGTCACAGGAATAAAAAATCCTAACTTCTCCTCATGGAATTTCATATATTATGAAATGCATGGAACAATGTGTTTACCTGCTGTGAAGATCAGCTGATTGCTACCACTCAGGAGGCTCTGTGGCAAGTAACTTTTTTCCATTAATGTTGCAGCTTTCATGAACAAGATGAAGTTGTTAATGTTTTGGTAGGTCTTTTGAATATTCGTGTCCAGTTGTGGTGTGTGAAACCAAACTTCATTAGTATGTTTTGTTCATTGTGTTTTCCAGAAAGCCAATTCCAGGCATTTTGCCTCTTGGAAGAAGCAGCCATCCCTGTATTAAAGGATTTGACACATCTGGGTGTACTTGCTTCTGTTACTTGGAGCTTTGACAGTGTTAAATTTGATCATACAAGGTTTTTCTTAAAACAGCAAGAGAAAGTGATATGTGATAATTTTCAACAAGGTATGTCTTTTAAGCAACATCTATTTTTTTCTTTAAAACTAATACAGATTCAATTGGTGACAGAAGGTTCAAGATGTTTTATAAATTATAATTTATAAATAAATTAATGATCAGTCTTTTAACATTATATCTTATAGAGTTACAACTGATTTCCTTTTATTCCAAACATGTCTCCTTGTTGTTCAATGTTACGTTTATTAAGGTCAATATTGCATTACAAAAGTAGTCTAATTGGATTTAAATTTAAAAGATTTTACATATGCTTCAGAAATATTGTTTCTATAGCAAACAATGTTTAATCTTTTCTCGTGCCAGATTTTAAAATTCAAAGCTGTTTATGTGGGGTTTTTTTCTTTTCTTTTAGTAGCTATGTTTTGTCACACCTTCATGATGCCAAATACTATGCCTATATTAGAAATTAGGAGCAACAAGAATCCATAATAATTTGTTTTCTTTCTGACTTCATTTCTCTCTTATGTGGAGAGCTCTGTAAAACCAGAAAAACAAGAAGGAAAGTCATCAAAGTTAGTGACCCCTTACAAAGATTTTTTGACTGTAAAGAGAGAGTCAGGAAAACTTCATAACAAAATAGAGGCTTGTTTGAGGAACATTTAGAAAGTCACTTGGTATTTTGTGTTATTTTTTGAGTTGTACAGCTCATATTAGGCTGTTTACTACCTGCCAAGTTTCTGTCTATATTATGTCACAAATTATGCAATAAACTCTTGTCGCAATTTCATCACTTTCTGTGCTGAATTTTCTCAATGAAAACATTAACGACCATGAAACCACAAATGAGAAAGAAGGCAAACAAGAAGAAACTGTAGTTGGCCCTGCAGAATGACAGCCTGTGATCTATAGAATTACCATATTAAAATGTCAGCAGAAGCCCTCTCTTAATGTGAGGGAGTTTACAAAAAAAGCAAACACTGTCTTCACAAACATCAGGGACAAATATGGTCTCTATATCTGTATCAGTGAATCAAGAAAGGAAAACATTAGTGAGAAAAGTATATAGAGAATTTCTACTGCTTCTCTGAATCAAGGAAAAAATATGTAAGAGTCTGCATTTCAATTAAAGATTAAGAAAACTTACATCCTCTCAAATGCATTTACATGCTATGGAAATTGCATTTTTCCCCAACTAAAGCAGCAGAAGGAAGTAAGAATATTTCTTGCTGAAAGGTCTTCAGAAACAAGAGAGAAAATATCCAATTCATTCCTAATGACTATTTCTCTATCTCTGTAAGAGATACAGAAATCTTCCTGGTAACATCTTTTATTTCCTTCCCAGTTTTAAATAGTTTCACAATATCCAGTCGTATTCCACTTTACTCCAGAGGATGCTGATACATTTTCTCCTTAATCCCTGAGTGAGCATAGGAAACAATCACTTACTGTGATGGTAGTGATCTATTAGCAGATTGCTATTCCCCTGCTGGTCTTTTACGCAGCAAATATCACCAAGTGCTCCAGTCTTGCATCATGAAGCTGTTTCTTACTGTGTTACTTTGTTTCTAATTTACCTGTATTCCCCACTGAGTTGTTATGGTGATTGGTTTAAAGAGCTGAACGTAGTCCTTCACTAACAGAGCTGAACATTGACTTTCTGTCTTTTGATGCAGAATAGTTGTGAGATCTTTGTGTTTCTTGGGGTTTCCAGCTATGTCCTTCTGTATGCTGTGTCCTTACATTGATTTTTCCTTCCCAAGTGCTTTGCTTTCCTTTTTGAATTAAAAGTTATGTTAATCCCAGTACATAGAACTAGCTACTATTTTCCTCCTAGAATGCACCTTCGGCTGTAGTATTTTATTCTTTAATGATCTTCTTCAACCTTTTTTAGTATTTTGAAATATGTGTTTTATTATTAAGCAGACTTACTCTGTAGTTGAGTTTTCAAAAATTTCTGGTTTATGATAATGAAGTGAACCATTACTTGTGTGGAATTCCCAAAATTACCTTCTGTCTTCAACTAGAAATTCCTTCCTGTTCAATCAAGTCCTATAGTACTATCCATATTCAAAATGGATACATGATATGGAATAGGAAGCCCATACATTTGTATGATGTGTGTAGGGCTAAGAAGAAGCAAATGTCATTCAAATTTACCTTCTTGAAGGTGAAGATTCTTGTCATGAGATATTAATTAGGTGCAGAGAATTGCCACACTAAAATCAGTAAAGCAATGTGTTCCCTCCTTGTCCCACAAGCACTGTCTCTCTGTACACACCTTTCAAAAACACCACCTGTGTGCCACCTGCTCTGGGTCAGATGGCCTGAGAAAAGTTATGCTATATTATAAGCTATTTGGCAAGACCACCAGATCTGAAGGTTAACCTTTGAAGTTTATCTATGTTTAAGTGTGTTTAACGAAAATGCTTAGATGCCAGGATCTTTTAAGCTGACTATATATATATGTCTAATGTGACTTGTGAAATTTTATGTAGACCACACCTCTGTCTTCTGTTTGTAAAGGTAAAATAGATGAGAAGGAAATCATGCTGTTCAGACATGCTGCTCTGGTACACCTGCTGGTGACAGTTCGAGATTTGCTACTAACTTGTGACTTGGATACAGCTCTAGGTTTGTTTTCAGTACTGAGTAATGATACCCAGAAACCCAAAGATTTGTGGAAGTTGTGCAGGCCATCCCTCACATTTGCCATCGGGTATATGCTCAGTTCATGACTAATAGACCGGTGTTTATGTTATTCCATGGATTTGTTAAGAACTTCCACATTTATAATGTCTTCTATCTCAGAATGACAAATTTCCATTGGAATCTCTGTGTGGAAACTGAGGAGCATGTTAAAATGTCAAGTCCTTTCATCTTTTGTGTGTGTGAAACACTTTACAAGTAAAATATTGCTGGGCTCTATGGAAGTGAACTACTTAAATCTGAGAGCACCTTAAGCAAAATCTTAAATGTTATCTAATATGTCACAAGGGAAGAAGTTTTAACAACACTGGACTTACATAGAACCCCCCTTTTTTTGGAGCTTTTTCTGGTCTTGTTCAAATTTGGAACATGAGAATCCATTGTAACCCAGCTTAATGCCTGAAATGATAATGCTGAGCTTGTCAAATTCCCATAGTTGTCTATTTTGAATTTTCAGATACCTCTGTCAGGATAGATCCATAAGAAGTTGAAGTCAGTGTATATGAATGTCCTAGGAAAGTCAGACTCCCTTTGTCTTTACAGGAGATAAAGTTGCTTCAGAGCATCTACCTTCAGTCTGAAATATCCCTTGATGGATGGTGTTTCCTTAAAATTGATGTAAAATGTAAAAATTTATCTGCCATAAACTGAACTGTGGGGAAAAATATTATTTTGTATTTCCTTAAATATTTCTAGCAGTAAAAGAGTAGGAAGAAGAATACAGAACAAATATATAAGTAGAAACCCAAGTACAATTCTATCATTACACTAAATAATGTAGAAGGATGGGAGGAAGAAAAATGGGTAGTTCTTCCTTGACTGTTTGTTGTAGCAGAAGCACTCTAGATGATATTTCAGAATTACAAAAGCACCTGTGTTTCCAAACCTGAGCAACAGCTCACACAGGAAATTGTACAAGTAAAATAACAAAAAAATTAGAAAATTGAGCAAGATACTAAGTAGGCCTTGTAGTCTTCACTATTGTGTTGATGAGCAGTGATTCATCATGTAGTTATATTGGATGTATTTCTTCTTTTATGCATTTTAAGATAACCCCATTGTTCACCATTTATTCATAGAAGGCATCATTCAGAGTTGAGAATAGTTGTGTAATATGGCAAGTGGTAAACACACAGGACAAACAAGCTTTAGACAACCGTGATAGAAATACTGTTGTTAGTTAGTATAAACAATACAGATTAGTTAAATATAAGAGTTGCTGCTAGCATCTGCAGTTTTAGGATGCAATCTTTGTATAATTCTATCTGGAGTTACATAGCAGATACTACATAAAGTAGAGCAATTTTATAAACACCATTTGTGTACCCAATTAGTGCTCATATTCTCCTTCCATATGGAGGAGCCATAAAATTTCCTCTGTTTTTGTGTAAGATACCTTCACACAAATTTTAAATTGATGTGCAGATGCTTGACAAATATATTTTGTCACTTTATTTACTTCTTTTGTTGCTTTATTAACAGGTTATTTGTCCAAGGCAAAGGATATCTATAAAAACATTTTAGAATCCTGTTTGAATAATATCTGGAGGCAGTTGAAGATTATACAGTACAGCAGCCAGAAAAAGCATGAAACTCATCCCAAAATAACAGCACTTCAGTGTGAAATGTTAAATTGGATGAAAAGTTATGGAGAGAAACAGAGTGTTAAGGTTAACACAATGTAACCACTTTCTCTTAACAAACAAAATTGTTCCAGATTACATGAATAATTGCAAAATTATGTTTTAACAAGGGTTTGTTTATGAAAAAAAAGTATAATAATTACCTCATGGTATCTATTAAGTAAGACTAATATAAATTTTAAGAACTCTGTCACAGCAATGCAAGTTTTTGTTTGCTCAAATCTCCTGTTGTTGCATGTGTTAAAAACATGCAAAAGAGTTTTAGCATTGCCAGGGCTTTATCTTGTTGCAGGTGGTTTTGTTTTCCTGATAAGTATATTGTATCACATCAGTTACTGAAAATTATAGTATAATCTTTTATTTGAAAGCATCAATCATCTGACACAGAGAGAATCATAGTGCAAGTCATGAATGTGTGCCTAAATGGCATGACTTGGAGTGTATGTATGCCAAGGAGTGTGTGGATGTTGTCATCCACAGATAACTTCTGTTAAGCCGTGTATCTAGCCAACCTCCTGGCATTGGAATGATATAAGAAGAAAATATCTGTGAGTGATAGCTTTGACATGGAAGAGAGAGTTCTGGAGGATATTCAGATTATCCAAAGATTCTCTTTTCTGATATGTGAATATTTTGGGTGATACGATGCAGTGAAAATCACCACTTTCCTTTGCAAAATATTTATTATTTCTTTACAGAATACTGATCATGTTAGGAAACAGAATGAAATGCGTAGTGTTAAAAATGTTCTGTTTGGAATAGAATTTATGATCCTAAACGCAGCCAAAAAAAGATCTTTAGGTTTATTTTAGCTTCTTTCCACACTTTACTTCCAGGGGATTTATTCTTCTTGTGTTTAAGAGTTGCACTGGGAGCTCTGAATATCTTATGATTAAATTTTGCTGAGAAGAACAATATAATACCTTATTATACACCCTTCTATGATTTAAATTAAAATGAAACAACTGATTGTCTTGTCTGTCCTTCAACTGACACAGTTTTGCATTCTTTTTGTCTTCTTAAGAGCAACACATTTTGCTTTGTCATACTAGGATTGTTTTGTAGGAGGTATATGAGAACCTGATGTTGTTCCACATGCGTGCAATACTATGTTACATATTATTTTATTCACAATTACTAATTGCTTACTGTTTCCTAGCATTCAGAGACAGGTTTTTATGAGCCAGTCTAGGTAGAAGGAGTATTCCAGTTTAATAAGAAGTAAAAGTTGTACTCAATGAACTATTTACTGTTCGATCATATCACATCAATATCAGTTAATATGATGTGAAATATTATAGTCTCATTATCCTTTTATTAGCCAAAGTTGTTATTGATGCAGGATTGTAATGGGATATTTCCTTTGCAAGGAAGAAGTTACTGCTGATTTAGAAAAAAAATTAATTCTACTCTTTGTTTCATTATCTTTTGTATTCATGATTAGATACAAAATGACTAAAAATTTCATCTAGCTCATGTGACTGTATAATGAGTCTGCTGAATTGTGTGTGGAAAAGCAGGTCTACATTTTTAAACGCAGTTGTCCAAAACTGCTTATAAAGATGCCAGTGGATTGTTGACTGGTTCTTCTGTGCACCTACTTAAGGAAATTGAAATCTTATGATTGCCTTATGATTGTCTGACCAGAAGTTATTTTCTGACAAGATCTAACACACTTTTAATATTTACACATATGATTATCTTATGTATGTAAATCATAAGACTGAGCCAATGCTATGTGCCTTCTTAAAAATTTTACCTTGTGTGCACCATGAAAAGTGTCTGTTGGCATAAAAGTTCAGTGAGCAACCCATCAGACAGTATGGTGCATGTATGTAGGTACATATTCTTCTTTATATACTTAGTGTAGTATGTATTTAGTTTGTATCAGTTGAAATGATGGACAAGGTAAACACCTTCTGTGTTGGGGATTCTTTTTAATACTGTTAGTTTGGTAGATTCTAATCCTTTTCAACATTTTTGTCTAAAGCAATATTTAACAAGTCTCGTATCTCTGGCAGAAACACTTTCGTGACTTCTTCTACAGATTGGAAAAATCTTTCTCACTAGTTCAGCAGTACATACAGTACCTCTCTCCAGTACATCAGTACTTTGCAGGCTGAATTCTAGATATCTTCAGCTTAAGTTTTTTTTTCCATAAGGATAGTGTTTCAAATTTGACAGATCTGTCTAGTACAATAGTAATAATGTGATATAATATCTTCAGATAGTGTCTTTAAGTAGCATTCTTTTTGAGTACAGGAGCAGGCAATTCCAAGCAAGTCAAAAGCCAAGCAAGCAAGGCAGGGATCTTCTAGAACTTAGGTGGAAAAGGAATATATATGGACTTTGGAAGTCACTTACAAACAGGTGACATGAAGGGACTTTAAAGAGGCTCTTCACTCCTGTAGGGAGAAAATTTAAATGGCCAAAGCTCAACTGAAGTTCAAGCTGGCCAACACCATGATGGAAGACAAAAAGAGCTTTTTTAAATAAGTCAAGTGCAAAATAGAAATCAGAGATAACATTGGTCTGTTGCTCAACAAGGCTGGTCACCTCACAGATAGGGACATAGACAAAGCAGAGGCATTAAAACAATGCCTTGTTTTGTCTCTGTCTTCAATCCCCAGAGCACAGTGTTAGAAGACTGTGAGGATAATGTTAAAATCCCAGCCAATCCTCAACTTGTTTGAAACTTGCTACTCCATCTGGATGTGCATAGACATATAGAGCCCAGTGGGGTTCATCCCAAGGTTCTAAAGGAGCTCAAAAATATCATTGTGGGAATTCTTCCCATTATTTTTCAACAGTCTTGGGAGCCTGGAGAGATCCCAGTTGATTGGAAGGTGTTAAATGTTGTTTCAATTTTCAAGAAGGGAAAGAAGAAAGCCTCTGGTAATTGCAGGCTTGTCCATCCCACTTCAGTGCCTGTTAAAATTATAGAAAAGTTTATTCTGGGAGTTACTGAACAACTCTTGAAAGACAATGCAGTCATTGGCTGCAACCAGCATGTGTTCAGGGAAAAGTGCTACTTAACCAACTTCATTTCCTTTGTTTTCCCACTTATGACAAGGTGACCCACCTAGTTGACCAAGGGAAGCCAGTGAGTATAGTTTTTAATTTTAGCAAAGCTTTTAATATCGTCTCTCACAGTATCCTAGATGAACTGCTCATGACAGAGGTAGACAAGTCCATAATATTGGGTTAGGTGAGCAATTGACTGGTGGGTTGAGCTCAAAGAATTACAGTGAATGGAATTGCATTACTGGCTGGTGGCCAGTGACCAATGGTGCTCCTCAGGGCTCAGTTTTAGAGACAGTGCTCTTAAATGTTTTTATAAGTTGTCTGGACACAGGAATCAATAGTGTATTAAGTGATTTTACTGATGACACTAAATTAGGAGGAACAGTGGACTGTCTTGAGCATAGAAAGGCCTTACAGAAAAATTAAACTAGGGAGCTGAGCACTCACCAGCTCTACAAAGTGTACTGAGACTGAGTGCCAGATTCTCCACCTGGGATGGGGCGATCATGTTTATACATACAAATTGGGAAAGAAGAGACTGGAGCCTAGTGGGAAGGGAACAGAAGTCTGGGTCAATTGCAAGTTGAGTCAGCAGTGCCGTGGCAGCCAGGAGGGCCAGTTCATGTCCTTAGGGGCATCAGGCCCAGCATCACAGCCGGGCAAAGGAGGGGATTGTCCTGCTCTGCTCTGAGCTGGGGAGACCTCACCTCGAGTGCTGGGGGCAGGTCTAGGTGCCACAATATAAGTAGGATATCGAACTTGTTGCTTTTGTCTGTCCAGAAGAGGAGGACCAAGATGGTAGAAGGTCTCGAGGGCAAGAGGAGGGGCAGCTAAGGTCACTTCTGTTGTTCCTTGTGGGGAAGAGAAGGCTGAGGGGTGACCCCTTCACAGCCTACACCTTCCTCAAGCGAAACAGCAGTGGGGAAGGTGCATATCTCTTCCCTCCGGTGACCACTAACTAGGACACAGCAACTGGAATGAAGCAGTGTCAGAGGATGTTCAGGCACATTAGGCAAAAGATTCTCCACTTAGAGGGTGGTCTTCCCTGTAACAGGAGTGGTTAAGTACCAAGCCTGTCCAAGTTCAAGAAGATCTTGAACATAGTCATATGGTTTAGTTTTAAGTAGTCCTGTGAGAAGCAGGCAGTTGGACTCTATCCTTATAGGTTCCAACTTGAGATATTCTACAATTGTTGTTGTGGAAAACTCCAAAGTTTCTGGTTTTGCCATCTGTTTATTCAATCTTGTGTGTTCTATGTAGAAGAGAAAGAAAGATGTATGTGGATTGAAAGAAAAAAAAATTAACATTACTACAGTTTCTTTTACTTGTCTTCATACAGATACTTATCATTACAAGGATGGACTCTGAAAAAGCTGCCTTCATTCACTCATTATCTGGGATAGAAGGTAATTATTTTATGTGATTTTTTGATATAAAAAGTGGCTGTTACTCTGTAGATTGCTGCATTCCTGTTTGAATACTTCGTGCAGGTGTTTCTTCCTTCTCATCAGGAGCCTTCCTACATACTTTTCTCATACTGTTTAATATTTTGCAACTCTTCCATCATCCTTTTATCTTTTATTTTCTCCCATTTAAGGGTTCTGTTTTAATGTGTTCTATTGCAAGAGAGTGGTAATTTCTGTGTTGAGTCAAAGATTTTTTTAACAGAACATGAAGAAACTGTGGACAGCCCATAGCCTAATTATATTTGCATCCATTATCTTGGTCAGATTGTTTCATTGTTTTTAGTTCATTGTTGGTCACAAGCTTTCTTTTTAAAAGTCTTGACTAAGCTCCCCAGCGTAAAGCCTTGAATGAGTAGTCAGGTACAAATCATATTTTCCTTTAGCTATATGTTGCTGATGTTGTTTGCTAATTTGTTAAATATGTCAGCATAAGCTGTATCAATCTATGAAACTCAAGGCAAAAATATACTATTTCCAGTATCCCACCTCCCCACTGATACAACTTGCACTTTCGTCATGTCAACATTTTACCTGTGTGTAATTTTACAAGTACAACCTTGTTCAACACTGCAAATTCAGCTGGTAAAACAAACATGTTTCCTTTCATATTGATTTTTTTATATTCCATTTTCATAAATCCTACTTGCTTGAACCTTATGAAGTATCGTGTATTGTACTGTTCTTTTGCCTTTAAAATAAAGTTAGATTTCCTGTGCTCTTAAAAGAAGAAAGCCTATCTTTTAGAATGTTTTGAAAGGGAGGAGGCATGTTCACAGTGCTTTTGCTAATAATAATATTTAATGAAAATTAAGATAATTTAAGTTTTAAGACTTGGTTGCAAACACAGGTCAATCCAACTACACTTTTGAAAATAGGCACTTGTGTAGTGCTGGGAAGGACGAAAATTTAACAGAAAAGTTTTAGTGATATGAATGCTTAGCAGAAGGTTCTCTAGAAATGAAAGGAAGCTTTGATATATAAAAGATGTTTTTAGGACCAGTTGTTGCTGAAGCAGCTGAGAGAACAAAGGTTTAGTCGAGTTGGAAGGTTTAGAACAAAGGTTTAGTCAGTTAGAAGGAGGTTTTATGGCTAAAGTCCGACAGGTTACATGGTCTTCAAACAAATCATGTTTTCTACCAAGTAAAAAAGCATAGACAGAAAGATATTTTTTTACCAAAGCAAAAACAATTTTCCACTGCAAAACAAGTTTCAAAGTTTAACATTTAATTACTAACTCAAATGATTGGTTAGTCACTAACATAGTATGGTAAATTTAGCCGTTTTGATGGGATACATGTAAATGTGAAGGTATTGTGTATGATGCTGATTGGTTGTTATGTAATAATATGCACAGCAAAAGAAAGAGATATAATGCATTGTAACTAAACTAAATGGGCTTCAGGACACATGGCTTGCCTATAGCCAGCAGCTGTAGGAATACCCACAACCCCTTGCTGTAATCTAGTCCATAGAATAAACAGCATTATAAAGAGCCATCTGTAGTCCCCATCTCACCACTGTCTCTTACAGTCTACTACCAACATTCCTTCTTAGATACATCTTCCAGTTAAAATTTCAAATGTATAAAAAGTGTAAAGAAATTAAACTTATTAAAGGGGCAAATATGCTTCCTTTTGTATTACCCCTTAATACTTCATTTTAAGGTAATGGGGTTGTGAGTTTGTGAGACATTAAATTTGTTTGTGTTACTTTTTCCTTGGGCTCTGAAAATGAAGTTTCTAAACCATTACATCAAACAGTACAATACAAACAGAAATTGTACAGGACTTCAGCAAGACAGAATATGTAATACTTGAAATTTTAATAACCTGTGTTGTTCCACATTTGCTACTTACTGTTGTGTGTTGATTCATAGTGATAGAGGTTCATTTATTTCATAAACTTTGATTTTTTTTAAGCAGGTTTGAAAGTTGTGGATTTGAATTCTGAGAAGAAAGGAAGCCCTTTAAGTTGTAAAGAGATAATAAGCAAGTAAGTCAAATTCTTGATTCTTGAGAACAAATTCTTTAGTCAGGACTAAGGTTCATGAAACTTCAGTTACTTTAGTTCATTTCCATGGGGCTTTCCAGTCTGGAGTAAAGTCTTCATGATATGAACCTACAGCTTCATTTTTAGAGTTGAGAATTTTGTCGACTCTAGAAAAATGCTTGGTGGGGCTTAGGGGAACTTTAGGGAACAAACAATTGTATATTCTTTAAATGTTGTTTTGCCTGTTTAGGAAAACTTTTTTAGTAGAAAAACATTATTTTGGCATATTTTAGAAAACGGTGGTGAAAGTGCATAACAGAAGAAATGACAAGTTACATTTCTGTAAAATAAAATATTTCAGGCAGATAACCATAGGAGGAAGAGTACAGATTTTGATTTTTCAATTAATTTTAAAAGGAGTTGGAGACTTAGCCAGGAAGGGTAAATAATTTTTTGTAAACAGACTTTAAGCAGTTAGAATTCATCAAAGTAAAACTGAGTTTATTTTGTCCTGAGGGTAATTCTACCTACACTTATTTTTATTTATATTTTATTGTGTTTTTTTAAGTCTTAGTAGATATTCCTGTGTTATTGTACATAATCAGCAAATTGGAGCTGACTTCCCTTGGACACACTTCTCATTAGTAATGGAATATGATTATTCTGAAAATTCTGGCTGGAAAAATCTGTGCAAAAATCTGAGTGTTACTTACATGACTTTTAAAACCACCCTCCCTGGAACAATACAAATGCGTAAGTGCTCTCCGGAATTGTAATAAACAGTTAGACTGAGATGTGAAAAGAAAATATTTTCTGTTCCATAAATTGCTATATTCATATGCCTGTGAAAGAGCATGAGTAATATATTGCAAGAGCTAAAGCTAAACAAACAGTGCTGGGTTATCTATGCGGCAAGGAGGTGTTTTTATTTGAGTGTAAACCTAGTTTTGGCCAGGATGTAGTAGTACATGTGGGTTCATAAGACACTTGTGCCAAGTTCTTAAGTTGTTTACAGCTTCTGCAAGCTGTACCCACCCTTCCTCATCCTAAGGGAATGTTGTAGATCTAAAAAAGTCTGAATTAAAGCATAATTTCAAAGAGATTCAAAGGACTTTCATTTTGGGGAAAAAAAAAAGTATAGAGTGGAAGCATTTTTTTGGAGATGAATAAAAGATGCACTTTCAAATGTCCATTTGTATTTATTTAGATATTATGTATTTAGAACATCAATAAGCAAAAAGCTCCAGTTTTTTGCTTATTAAACTATTATCTTACATATGTAAAATGTTTCAGGGAATCATGGTGGTTCCTTTCTTCTGGAAGTACAGATTCCATATGTATTTCTGACAACTGAAGGTCTTCTTAATATGCCAGATATTCTTCAGCTTTTTGAATCCAAGTGAGTGAAAAGAACCTATTTAATCATGTGGACTATTTATTTTCTGATTTTCAGGACATGTTGTATGTTGACATGACAACAGTATGTTGTTCTACTCTGTCTTGTATTAGCCATCTGTTTGGCTATCAGGTACATTTCTGTGATTAAACTATTAGTACTTCAAGAGAAAAGAATATAGTTTTTTTCTGTTGAAGTTGATAACTTAGTACTAGAAATTCACACACATGCCAGCAGAATGGAATTGGCCAATATTTTAATTGTAGCTGGTACTTTTTAATCAAAACAACTTTTTTAATTGTCTACTTTTCTCTGGAATTCATAAGATTAATGAACTTTTCTTTTCTTTAATGCTTCTTGGTCCTTGGAAGACTTTGTATTTAATTCTTCATAAAAATTACTTTGGGATTTTTTTTGGTTTTTTTTTTTTTGTCTACTGAAGCTATGCTAAATACTCAAACTGAATAATAGTAAAACATCATCTTTCCTGGTGCATCACAGTGTTTAGGAGAGGTTAAGTTTTCAACAAAAGCTAATTTACTCATAAAATTCAGATCCACTATTCACTTAGTTTTTAATTCTCTATAACCTGTATGAAAACTGCTAGGGCTGTAAATCATTGTGCTTCTTTATTATTTTTTTGACATAATTTTCTTGAATTTTGCTTTCACAGTAATAAATACTTGGTAAAGCTACCTTTTATCTCATGAGGGAAAAGTGAAAAGAAAGAAAGAAAGAAATAGGGACCAGAGCAGCCCTATCTCTCAAACATAATGACAGAGATACAGATAGTTGATTTCACCATGTTGCAGGAGAGACATGCCTTTTTTAATCCTGGCTATATCCTTGAGTCAGCTGTGGAGCCATTTTTTTGTCTGTGTCCAATTACAGTTAAGCAGGGATAAAAAATAAATGTCTTTGACATTTAAAATTTGAACCCACAATCTGACATGCTTTTAAACTCTGTCTTGAACAAGTTTTCTGTTCAGCCTGGCTATAAGCCACATAGCTGGGAACAATGTTTTGTTACTTTTTAACTAGCTCCTTTTAGCAGTGGTGAAGGACTTAAATAGGTGAGCAAACAGCTGTACAATTTCAGAAAAGCTAAGAGTTTACTTTTTTTAAAGTTTCTCAATACACTGTCCATACAAGTTTCTAGAGGACATACTGCTGGCAGATTCAGATTTAGGTCTCTTGTGTCTCCCAGTAAAATGTAACAGGAGGCTGTGCTGCTGGCAGTTCTAAGTCAGTCAGAAATTTTAGGATTATACCAATGGCAATCAGGGAGTTTGCTTTGCCTTGTGCTGCACAATTGTGAAAGGAGGAAAAGAAATACAATATGTTAAGTTTGTCAGAAAAAGTTTCTAGGAATCTATCTTAGTTTCTATATTACCTCTTTTTTTTTGTAAACTCAAAGCCTGGATGTCAATGTCATACTCAATGCGGTTAGAAATATAATTTAATTTCACTAAATCACTACTACATTGATATGTATTGTTCAAGTGTGTCTTAAAGTGAACTGAGCATTTGAGAAAGATCAAGACCGTGTAAGTTAAAAAACTATATTAGGGGGTGTACGTTACCAATTTTCTTTAAGAAAATAGTATTGTTTTACTTGTCTGAGTTCTAATGAAACAATTTTACTTCCTCAGGTACAGCATTACCTTTGTTGAAAGAAGCAGTAGTTACTCCTTAAGGCTTTTTGGAAGTGTAGATCGTTACGTTGTATTGACAATAGATGAAGGTACTGCTATCTTTTTACAGGTACAGAATGAAACTACTCTGTCCAAGTTCTGTTATGTGTTTGGTCACTTTTAGGCCATATCTTCAGACTTCTGACTTATCTTTTCTTTCCCATAATCATATTCAATTCATGCATTGTTTCACATCACAAATCATTAACCCTAAAATTCTGTCTGTGCCAGTTTGACAAGTTTAAAATGTTCTCAGTTTCTTCACTGAAGTAACATTTGACCTGTGATTTGATTATATGAAATGTAGTTAAAGGATGCATACTTGAAAATAGGGTTGTATAAAGAAATTTTGTAACAACCAATTAAATGTATTTATGATTCTATTCTCTTACCAGTGTGCATATTAATTCCTCCCATTTCAGATGATTATCTGAAATAGTCTGTAGAATAAAAAATAAAAATAATAATAAAAAATAATAGTTTAAGCAATAGCATACTACTTGAATTCTGGTATGCAGCAAGACAGATTACTGGTAAAAGAGCTGCTTCTGAAAAATAACACATAATAAAATAATCAATTAGTATTACAAGTACAGCATAGACATTCCTACAAGCTACTGCAATTAGCGATGTTGTACTTTATTATAGAGTCAGTGTAGGTATGATAGGATTTGTATAGGCCAAGTAAGTACTTCAGAAGTTTATAACAATATTTTACATCAATAAAGTTCACAAAAAATCTTAAGAATAGCCTATAAAGGTATTGACAGTGTTTCTTTTTAGAGCAAGGAAGAAGAGGCATAAAGCCAAGAATCAGCTTTTTGAAGTTCAAAGAAAATAAAAGTTGGGAATACAAGCTAGTTCTCCCAGTTCCCATATGTGTCCTTAATGCTGACATTATTTAGCTGTATTTATGTTTGGTCTAGGTTCTGCATATTATATTGATAGTCATTAGAAGCTTGGGGCAGCCATGGTAATGTTACAAATTAGTTATTAATAACTAAATATTATTTTTATTTATTTGTTATTTAGTTTTTACTCTTTATTTAAATTTCATGGTAGAGTATGGAAGAACTAAATTATGAGGACTCTTGTGACGCTGTAATATCGAGACTGATGGCATTATCACTCCAATATATGTGCTGTTGGATTATTTTCTATTCCAGAGAAAGACTGAGTTCAGAGTAAGTTATTAAATTCTTTTGTTATCCTGGTGTTTTTAAAACTTGTCACTAAAGAAAGCTGCTTATTAAAATAAATTGATATTCACTTATCTTTGAACTTCTCTGTAGGAATACATTTATCTTAGAACAATTCAAGTATTGTAAACTCATATTTCTAGTGTGCTTTGAGTTTTTTGTTTGGTTACAATGTTGTTGTGCTTGTACTGAAAAACTCAGTGAAATTGTGAAAGTAACAGTGATCACTGGAGACCACCAAAATGTTACAAAATTTGGTTTTTATTTGTAAGCCTATTTTTAGTCTTAGAAAAATGATAAAGAAATGGTTGTTATAAAAAAACAGAGTTTTGGGAAGGCAGTACTAACATGAGGTGTATTTCAAATCAGCAGGTCCAGAAATTTCACAGCAATAAGGATATGAAATACTGGAATTTTTCTTACATCTCTTTGAAGTAAATTAACCCCTACAAATGCACGGTTGTGAATTACTGTGTTAGTATCACTGTATATAATTTGCAACTGGGGAACATTCTTCAAATGGTCTTCCAGTGTATCAGTAATTCTCCTTTTGCTATGGAAGCACACCTTTTGTTGACATGGTTCATAAACATTAATTTATTTCCTCTTTGGGGATTTTTTCTCTATAAGCAAGTGGTAATTTCCTCTGTTTTTTTTTTTTTTTTTTCCAGTGTCTCCAGTGACTGACCTTGATGCAGACCTTTTGCTTCAGACCAGACTTGCTTTTCTGTAGACTATATTCTCTTTTTTCTTTTTCTTTCTTTTCTGTTTTTCTGTTTTATTTTCTTACAGTCCATCCTTCAGCAGTCAGTCCCTTAATGTACTCTAGTTCTCTTTCCACAGATATTAATGCTCAAACTGTACCAGTATTCTGAATTCCAGGAAATTAAACAGATATTTATGAAGACATGGAACAAATGGTTTGAGATTATTACATGTGCCTATTAAATATTAGTGATCCAGTAAAACTGTTTTACAGGTACAGTCTCAAGGGAAATACTCTGCTTAATCTTGTCTTAATTTATGCCACCCTAATTGAACTTACACAGAAGTCAGAAGACTTTGAAGTGAAGGTAATTTTTTTCTGTATTAATATTCATAATATGATATTTCTAAAAGCTCAATCAAGTATGCCTTCTACATCAAAAACACAAAATAGCTCAAAATTACTGACATAAGAGAGGATCTTAATTCAGTGCTGGTAAAGTCAGTGCAAAGACTGTGTTGACTGCAATACAAGTTGAATCAGATTCAAATAACTGTTGAAGTCTTTTTATAACTAGGAGTGAAAAAATGAGGCCATACCTTTAATAAATTTTTAGAATACATATTTATCCTTCTTATGTCTTAATTTGAAGTTTCAGATAAATATTATGTTGCTGATGTGGCAGAAGAAAAAAAGAAATAATTGGCTGCCAGCTAGTTTGCTTTTTTAATGTGACAAGATAAATTCTCTAAATCTAGAAAATCTGTTTTACTGTCTAAAGTAATCAGGATTAAAAAATGCAGCAGAAGTTTCATTCAGTTTACCAAATTGTTGGTAACTTATATTTTTGAACCAAGTGATACCTTTTTAGACACATTTTTTCACTTATCTGCTGCCAATGTTGGGTACAGATCTTTATGAAAGTCATTATTATTTGCATATTAAAATTTGTATAAAATTTACCTGATTAAATGAAAGTTACAAGGGCAAAGAGAGGATGAAGCTTTTTTCATTTCATTTCATTTCACTCAGCAGTGTAGATTGTGAAAAAATTATAGCTTCAAAATGTTACACATCTTCTTAAACTGTAATAAGCATCTCACAATTGTCTTGTTTCATTAGGAGCTCATATTATACCCAGAAATTTGATTACATATAAAAGACCTATAGGATAAATCAATTAATTTCACCTACACAGGATTTGCATAAATAAAGAGTGTAATTGCAGCCAGGCTAGTAGTCAGAGGTTAGTTTTTCTGCATGATAAGCATGGATCAAGTTTAATTACTGCAGTACCAACTCTTGTGTTCAGGATGACCCTTAGTTTTCACCTCAACTTCTGTAGCAAATTAAGACATTCCTAAGAGTAGGTTTTAACCAAGAACATTATGTATCACTTTTAGGTAATTCTTACTCCAGGGATCGAAGAGACAGCACTGGTAATTCGTCAGATTGCTGACAACATTTTGATAGCATCTAATATCAGTCCTCATGAGTGGCTGGACAAATCCTGGCTTTCGGTCTTGCCATCTGAGGTTTGTTTCTCTTCCCATGAATTTACAGGGTTTTCTTCCTGTTTCTAAGATTCACAAAGTTTTAGGATTTTTTTTGTTTGTTGTAGTTCTCTTAAAATATATTACTAAAACAAGCATTATTATATATGGATATCTAGATATGCAGATATTTATACAAGCATATTTCTAGTATATATACTAGATAGATAGAAATTTCCATCATCCATGTCAGTGGAATTAGATGTAACTTGGACTTTTCCTGTGCTTTCACAATTAAACTGTAGGGAAATTTATCCACCACATCTGCCTGCCAATTTGTGCAATTCTACAGTTCTAGGCACTAGGTTTAAAAAACTATCCAGATTGTAAAAGATAACTATACAGTGGCTCATCAGCAGTGCTGATCCATTATTGAAGTCAATGGCATTGCTTCCCAAATTGCTCTAGTAAAAGATGGTAAAGACTTGTTTAACTCATGCAGTTACTTGTTTGACTCATTTCAGTAAATGCTGGAACAGGCTCATCAATCACCATCAAATATATGGTACCCTTTAACCTGTACAGTAAGGTGCTCAAATGAAACTTATGGATTTGTTCATTTTATGGGACAGCTTTGAACTCTTGTAAAGCTGAGATTGCTTTTTGGCTTTTGCAAAATTCAGAAGCATTATAAAGCAGGTATTGGCATGGCCTTTCAAGAGAGGGGTATTGGTTTATAGGTTTTCCAATTTAGAGATTAAGGATGCTGGTAAAAAATTGAGAGGATTAATTGTTTTTGTGTCTCTGTTTAATATATTTGATCCTGGTGTTTTATGAAAGTCAGGAAGAGGAAGCTGACACTGATAACCAGCTACTCTCAACTTGCTGCCCTGTTTGTGACATTCATCCTCTCCCTGACAACTCCTGGTTTTGCCATCTGTTTCATTACCTGTAACAAATACAGGTTTTGTAAAACAGAACCAGTTTTGTCAGTTTATATTGATCTAGGTAATTCACTTTAAAATGGAGAATTAATAGTAAATCTGGTAATGCATTTTAAAATCAAGTTTAAGTTATTCACTGGTTTTAATCTTTAGAAAATAAACATATTTAGACTTGCTTTTTGTTTAATGGTTATGCAGAACTTAACTCTTTTTCAGAAATTATACTATGTTGCACCAATAGTAAGAAAAATGAATTTTTATTGGACTATAAAAGTATACAGTTTGAAAGCTGTCTTTCTATTATATACTCTAGGACTTATTAAGATGTGACTTTGTAGTAACAAGAAACAAAGGATAAAAACTTTGTCAGATATCAATCTAATAAAATAATTTCCATTTTCAGACAGAGAAATGCTTGCTTACTTTTCCATGTATCAATCCTTTGGTTGCTCAGTTTATGTTAAAGAAGTGGTCTTCACTGAACAGGTTATTTCTTGCAAGCTTTGATCAACTCCAGGAACTTCTGCCAGAGGTTCCAAAAAAAGTTTTAAAGGTGGGCCAAAATTATTTTATGTATTAGATCAATTTTTTTTTTCTTTTGCTCTGTAATATGTGGTTGTTTTGTTGAGTTGTTTTTAATCTGATGGTGCATGTGCTGGTGTAGTTTAAAAATTAATTACAGGTTTTAGCCTATCATTCATTTCCAGAATGTTGAGTCTGCTAATTCTCAGCAGATTTTGTCAAATCACTGCTTTGTTTGTGGGAAGATAATGAGAGCATTTCCTTAACTGTATATATAACTAATACTCATTAGATCAACTTCCTCCTCAAGGTTCACAATACTGAGTATTGTATCAGTGTGCAGGCTTTTGTCTATTTCTAATGTAAAAAATGTTTTTCCAATTAAATATTTCCAGGATTTCCCTCCTTCCTTCCTGCTAGCCTTCCTGCTTGCCTTCATTCCTTCCTTCCTGTCTGCCTCCCCCCTACCTATATTAGCATTCATAGTAGTAAGTGTTTGACAGAGCCCTAGAGACAAATTGTGTGCTCCTACTGTTCCAGCTGGGTCAGATCTGGGAAAATCGTAGACTGAATGCAGTCATTTAATTCAATAAAAAAGGCACATATTTTATCATTCAAGAAAATGGTTGAAAACACCAGTCATTTAAGGTGAAGCATTCCATTAAGGTGAAGGAGCAAGTGAATGGATAATTGGACACTGAATGTGAAATTGTGCATACTATTGTTTTAACTGTATATGTGTAAAGCCATCTTTATTAACAGAAGAAGCTCAGTTAAATTTCTCTGTAATGCATAATAGGTGCCAGTCCATTGCAGACACTTCTTCCTACAGTCTTGGAGGAATGAAAGAGAATAAGCCTTATTAAGATATTTATTTTCCTGTATTTCAAGACAGAGACTATTAATCTGTTTATAGCTTTAAGACAGGTGGTACATTTTGTACTGTACATGCCTGTCCTGCTTTGGTAAGTCCTTTTTTTTGTGTTCCAGTAAACAAAAAATTTATACATCTTATAATCTTAACAATTGATTTATCTTTTTGTACTTGGCAGTGTAGACATGTATCATAAACATTCCTGACAAATACTTTATTGTTTCAGCATTTCAGTGACATGGTATCTTCATACAGCCTAAATACTGCTGCTCCTCTAGAAAAAACAGTGAAAAGTGCATCACACCCAGAAAACCAGAATAATTTCAACACATTGTATCTTGACAATAAACAAAATTGTCAGATTTTAGAGCTGCTTGATAAGGCTCAAAACAACACAGGTAATACCTTGAATTACTAGGAAAATGTGTCTCCTTTGAAACCAAGTGAAAAATCTGAATGTATTAGAATCTTATCTTCTAATCAGGGTAAGGCCAGTTATTCTGATGAGACAGACTGCAATCACAATGCTCAATGACATCTTGGTTTTCTGTAAAATGTAAAAAATAAGCTAACCTTTCATTTTTCAAATAAAATAGTTCAAATTTTTCTCTACCAGGAATGTCTCATATGAATTTTGAGCCCCTAATTCCTCCACTGAATCATCGTAAGGGTGTTTTAAATTCTGATCTTCCAAGTTGTATGCGAAAGAAAGCATGCTTATCAGATGTAATTACAAGGAGGAAGCCAGATTTCATTGCTGTGTCAAAGGACTATGAAGATTTTGCTCATCTAGAAGTTAAAAATTCTCTCCATGTTCAAAGACAGCCTTTCAGGATGCATGATAGCTCTGATAATTCTTCCAAAGACACTGAAAAAGAGGATTTCTTTGGAACTTTCAGTGACTGTGTACCTCAGGAGAGTTTTAAGAGTTTTCTAGAAGAATTTACAGACACAACATGTAACAGCCCAGAAATTCAAATTGCCCAGCCTCTGTGGAATGACTCTTTATCCACAAGCCCACATAATTCATTTGCACATGATGATTTTCTCTCTGATTTCTTTGATGGTATGGATAAGCTTCCAAATCTGAATTTTAACCAAATAGGTAGAGCACCTAAAGGAAAGAGAAAACAAAGGCCTCCATTCTTCTGGACCAAAGAAAATATTAAAACAGGTAGGTCCAAAGTAAGCAGATTTTGCTGAAATTCTTTCTTGTTACTCAACTTCAAAGTTTTAAAGAGTATCTGTAAGACTGTATCTTATCTTTTATTTAAATAGCTGTTAAATCAAATTCAACCCAACAATTGCATGCTCCCTTTGCTAAAACTTATTTGCATATGTATTTTTTCTGTGATAAAAGAAGAAATTTACAGGTTTTGTTTTGAGCATAAAGATGCCTTGGGGTATTTAAAAATAAAAAAAAGCCAAACCAAATTAACTAGAATGGTGTTGCTGCCATTATTTTCCCTGGTAAATATTGAAAAGAATAACTCTTCAATAGTGTAAAATTCAGCTTCTTTTCTCTTTGACAGTGCCTAAAATATAATGAACATGCCAGAACTAATTTAAAAGTTATAGGGAAGATTGTTTTGTAAACATAGAGTTGGAGAAGGGTCTACAAAAGACTGTATTTTCTCTATAGGACAAAAAGGAGATTCAGCAAATCCTGAGGGTGAAATTCAGATTCAGATAATGGCTGTATTTTGCTATTGGCACTAATGGAGTAAAAATGGCACTCTGAAAATTTTCTAAGTTTGTTTCATATGTTTCCTTGTTCCTGGATTATTTTTTTAGCTAGTATCTCTAGGGGTAAACTCTCCACTTGAAATGATTCCAAAGCTTGTATTTTCAAAGAGATGGTATGATGTGTACTTCAAAAAGTACTTCACTTTGTTTACTCTGAAAGTGTGTACAGTCCTTACACAAAATATTAGGCTTCTCTTTTTTTGTAGTTTTCTTATTCCTGGTTTACTCTATCAAATATAGTAAGCTTGAAACCTTTTTCAACAAACCATAATATGTATCCACAGAGTCTTACAACTAAGTCCCTATGACTTCCCCCTGTGTCAGACTATGTGTATCATTTATTGTAGCATGTTTTTTTAATTCTTCTATTTCCTGGTAGGTGAGACGCCATATCTTTTTAAAAAATGCAAGTTTAAGTTTGTTTTTAAAAAGTGCCTATTTATGATTTGTCTGTTTCTGGGTGTCATTAAATCTCTTGGTGCTAGAAGGTCAGCGCACCATTAAAATGCTTTCACTAATCAGATCAGACTCATTCATGTAAACTAATTTAAATCACTCTTTCTTTAAATCTTTTCTTTCATGGACTGCTTAGGGTAATTATGGAGGTAAAGGGAGAAAAAGTTAATTTGTTATGGTGGACTTCTTTTAATTTTCCATGTATGTAAATTCAAATGTTTATGCAGAAAATCAGAACAGACCTTTTGCTCCTCTGGAATTACAACTGAGACCTGCAGTATTGCTGAGTAGGTAGAAAATATTCTGATAGCATTCTACATACAATATATTTCAGTAGAAATCAGGGAAGATTCACCTGGTACCACATTTTATGGTGATACTGTACTGAAAACACTGGGATCTCCAACTGATAAGCTTTCTTTATTATTCTTGCTCAGTAGGACAAGAGTACACTTGAATGTGAATCAGATCAAAACAAGGAAAAGTGATTTTTGGTTTATATTTTAGAAGAACAGGCTTATTCTACTTTATAATTCACCAACCAGAGGAAAAATAAGTACACAAAATAGTTTTGCATGCTAATGCAAACCATCCCACCCTCCAAAAAAAAATTTTAAAAACCAACCAAACAAAAAAAACAAAAAAACCCTAACTTCACCTTAATACAGTAAAAGCCTCTGAGAGCAAAAATTTAAGAAATATGTAGAGTTTAGTTAAAAAGAAACACTGAGAACAAACCGCAAGGATTCTTCAGGTGTCAGATCAAGCTGTCACTAAACCACAGATAATTCATGACACCAAGCCAAGCCACTATTTCCACTGTAACAGATCAAATCCTTGGGTCAGTTTTAGCATTTTCTGACAATACTTTTTGTAGAGACTAAATATAATTTCCTTACAGTAACTTGTTTTGAATAAGCAACTTCTCAAATACATTGTTTGAGCACTTAAATATTACCAATGTAAGTATCTTCTTAAAACAACTTAGAAACATGACTATGTCTGGTTAAAAAGAGCTAAATTTCAACAATTACAGTATAGTTCTAAGTGTAGTATTAATTAAATAGAAATAAACATTAAATATTTTGTAAAATATCGTAGTTAAGTATAGGTTGATTTATTTATTTTTGTATAAGGTCCCATATTCCTATTACAGAACAACATGCATAAAATGGGTCAGTAGCAGCAAGTAGAAAATATTAATCTATACACATTTTATTTTATGACAGTTGATACTTTTCTTAGGGAACACACCAGTTAAAACCTAAGTCTGTCACTGCTTCTGAGAAACACACAGATAAGTCTGCATACATGTTGTACTTATAGTTTATCATGGTCTTTTCTCCACTTCTGTTTCAGATTCAGGATTTCCAGAAGTACAGGAGTTCAAAAAAAGGAAATTGACATATGAAAGAGTCCCTGGAAGAAGAGATGGACAAACACGTCTTAAATTCTTTTGAGCAGAATGGGGATTTGCATATTACATACTTTTTTTTTTCATTCTTGAGCTCTTTAAAGGGAAATAAATTATTGTTGTTAGTTTTTAGAAAAAAGTTAGGATTTGGAAATTCTTACTAGATCAGGATTCTTCTGTATGTTTTTAAAATGTTGCTAAACAAACTAGTTTCTTGAAGCTGCATAATTGCTGTTTCTCTGTTGTCATGGGTGAATGACTTTATCACTCTTTATATATTAAAAAAATATTCATGGAAAAAAACAGATGCTGAGGCTTGCTCTGAGTTTTCAAGGCACCTGTGTTTGCTCCCTGAGCCTGCTGCTTTTCCAGTGTAAAGGACAGGCTAGATCTGCCAAAATCTCAAGACATCTCAAGGCTTCTCAAAGTCTTAGAGATTTCTTCCTGTTACAGCTGTGACTTTTGTAGCTGTCCCTTGGGCTCTGTTCTACTTTTCTTCTGACAGCTTCTTCAGGAACAAGTTCCTGAGCTCATTTTAATCATACTTAGTCTAGGAAAAAGCTCTTTGTTTTATGGACAATATGAGAAGACTGCATTGAAATTTAGCATTCTCATAGATTTGATTCAGGGAACTAAGCTGTGACACTCACCCCAACCTACTGGAGGCCATTTGTTGGCATCCATGTTTTTCAGCCTTCTGCAGGGTATTGGCAAGTATGGGGGGGATGAAAGTCGTCTGGGAGGCAGATCCAGATATTATAGGGTACAAATATAAGGGGTAAAAGATTGGATTAAAAGAAAAATTTATCTCAGTTGCAGTCAAAAGAACAGGATAGGATAGTACCCAAACCCTCACCTTACATCAAAAGATTTGGCAACAAAACTGGAAATATGTGTGGGAGCAGTGGAAGACAGTAACTCCATTCTGCTGCAGGAATGAATGCATAAACGGTTTGCACAGGCATGCCAGCCAGATCCAGAATGTCTCTCTCTGTTCAGGGACCTTCAGTTGAGATGATTCAGGTTTCAAACTCATTAATCTTTTTTAATTTGGTGCAGTAACAGAAGGGGGGGCAGGCGGGGAAGTAGTAGAAGAGAAACCACCAAGTTTAAGGTTTATGCTTGCATTTAAATATTTAACATTAAACCTTCATTAAGCACATATTCTCTATTTGAGTAAATGAAACCAGCACTTAGGGAAGAAAGATTTGGTCTCTCAGAGAAAACAGAGTGCTGGTTTTTGACTGAATTCTTGAAAAAAGCTTGAAAAAGCTATGACAGCACTAACTGCAATTTTAATTCACAGTCATATACCTGAATTATTTGTGCACTGATTGCGTGAAAGATTTGAGAAAATACTTTTCACAAGTGGTAACATAAAAAGATTTCTCATAAAATTGCAAACAAGACACTGTTTCCTAGAATAAGAGAAATACTGAAATAAAAGTTGCAATTTGCTTACTATACATGGCCCATTTTTGTGGTCACCTGACCAAACCATTTTACTTCTTCTGCATCATGGGTTATGTTGTTCAGAACTACCACCCAGATTTCTAGAACCAGGAATTTGTTTTTTTTTGAAGTACAGCTCTACAAAGTCTCAGTCACAGATGACCACAGTTTGAGAAAATTATAGCTGCCAGTGCCAAGTTATGTATTTATGTTCTCCTCTTCCACAGGCAAAGGCTGACACCAGAACTTCCACATGAACAGTTGTGAAAGCATAGCATAGATAATCTGTAGATAACTTAAAAACAAAGGCATATTGTCTATATTAAATAAAAAAATTCAAGTGCTGTCAGTGTTAAGTTTCCATTAGGTAGAAAAAATGTCAGTGTACAATTAAATGACTGGTAATGTAGTGGAAGATAAGGAAAAGGGCTTGCAATGATCAATTTTTTTTTACAGTATTTCTTTAGGACAAATCTCAGTCTCTCACAGATCTGGACACATTGACAAATTTATAAATTACATTCTTCCCCCTCCTTTTGTCTGTTTAATGTGGAGTAGAATTGCTACTGAACTACGGTGATTCCCTTCCCCACTCCTCTCTCCCTTCTATTCTCTCCCCGCCCCCCCACCCATTTTACCTGTGAATTAGGAAGCAACTGATTCTTAGACAAAAAGGCACAGTACAAAATCTAATCTCCAGTCTTACATCAGGAGGTAGGGACACTCCACTCCTGGAACAAGTTTATAAACATATTAGTGACCAGGCAGGAGGCAGCTGTAGATGGAGAAGAGCCTTGCTGATCAGCTGGGAGGGGTGACTGTGAGAAAAGGGGGCTTGTGGCTCATGTGAGGCACTGAGCATACAAATGTGCACACTCACTCAACCTTCTTTACTGTGGGCATCCTGTAGGACCTGCTGCCATCAGATGGTATTGAAGGCCTCTGTGCAGCAGATAGCCCGCTTGGATAGTCTTTGGTAAAGGAAGCTGAGATGCTGCCCACAGTTGTCCACCTCACTGCAGATCACACCTGTTGGAGCACAAGTGGCAAAATGTGATGGTTGCCCTGGCTAAGCCATCACTGAGTTCAGTTCAGCAGTTATGCAAACCCAGGTACACCTGCAGCTGGAGAAAAGACATTGCCCTGTAGACTGAGTAGGTAAGGGACAAATGTTCTCCTGCCTACAGAAGCTGTCAGCTGCCCAGGCTCGTTTGTCAGGTTCTTTGGTTATGCCAAGGAAGGGGGACCTGCTAATGCTGAGCTGCTGAGATACAGCCACTCCACTCAGCCAGCACAAAATAACCAGCACGGGCACATTTCACCAAACTGATTGCCAATGGGAACCAAAGAGCCTCAGTGACGACCAAAGCTGTTGTGGAGCTTGTTCTGACACTCAACTTCTCTCACAGAAGGTGCCCCGGGAGGGCAGAGGTAGCATGGCTGCCGTGCCTCTCCTGGCTTCTACTCAGCAGCTCAGATACGCACTGCCCTGAGAGCAAGGAGGTGCAGCAACCACACTGCTCTGAAGAGGCTGGAATCCATGTCTGAGGAATAAACACCATGCTCAGAGGGACATTGGAGTGGAGTGTTCCCAATCCATCTCACAACTGCTGCGCAGATCTTTCTAGTCTTTGATGGTGCAAGACCCTGATGCAGCCAGGTCCTGCTCACAGTGCTACTCCAACTGTGTTGACCTGGTGCTCCAGCTGCAAGAGACTGGATGGAGTTGGGCAGGGCAGCCAAGAGACAACAGTGGTTGGTGGCTGTCTAGCAGTGGTGGCTCTCTGCTGTACGCTGTGATTTGGCCACTCCTTATGCCAGCTCAGCAGCCACTTCAAAACCCAAGCTCCAACTGACATTGCTGAGCCTGAAAGTGTATGCAAGAGGGCTTCTGGGGAGAGAAATGGGTGTGGGATGAGGGTAGGTTTTTTCTCAAGAGGCAGAAGAAATATGAAGGGCTTGTCTGGGAGGAAGTAGGCAGCAGTCATATGTTGGCTGTCCAAAGGCTCTTGATGTACACACTCCTCAGTATCTTTAACATTTTAGCCTCAAACCAAGCCTCTGATGGCCTCTGTGCAAGAGTAATTTGGTTTTCTCTAGATTTCCATATCTATGTCCAGTACTAACAGAAAAATTACTATACTTAAATAGCTTACAGTGAAAGGAAGTCAGAGTGAAGAGAAACACTGAAAGAAGACTATTCTGTATTTAAAGGCACAATACATACTGTCAGTATTACAGTTCTCATTTTGGAATCTTTCTGCAATGAAAATATTTGACAAAGACTGAACTGTCTGGAGGACATTGTTGCCGCATTTCAGTTAACATTCATGAACATTAAGTACTCAGACTGCAGAGTTTTTCCTTACAGTTTCAAAATGTGAGTCACATAACATTGTATTTAAAAACATGGTCAATTGATATGAATGGGACTTTTCTACTAATATGATACAGCTTCTAAAAATCCAACCTTCTCTTCCCCAAAAGAACAAAGATCTTGAGGCCTTCCCTCCCACTGCAAAATCCAAGTATCCTCTTCCTTACACTAGCTGCTCTTTATTACAATTACACAATGAGTTCAAAGCAAAGAGGGAAAGGAGTTTTATTTCCAAACTTCTAAAAGATTAATACAAACAATACAAAGTAGACAAAATTAAAAACCTATTTAAAAAGTTGTTCTTGTAAAAGTGCTCTATCAAAAAAGTGAAGGCAAATGACCAAGCACGTTTTAGTAAATTCTGTGCATTGCAAACCATGACAATGATGCATGCAATTATCTTTGGGTGTTCACAGATTTTAGTGTCTGTTTGGTAACATTTTAAATACATCAAGAAAATTCCACCACAGCAGTGTTACAAAGTACAAGAAGGCTTACAGACTAGAAATATTGCAAGAAACATGCTTTAGGAGTCAAGTCTCTGCTACATGTTGTGTTCAGGAGTTACTAAAATGTGTCATTTATGCACTGAGATACACTTGAAAAAAAATTAAACTCCGTTCCAGATCTTGCTAATGCAAGCAAAAAGTCCCCTGAGGACATTACTTCAGCACTAACAGCATTTAGCTTTAATTATTCACTTTTGGGTTGTTTTATTTTGGAAAAAAAAAAAATCCCCTTGAATAATTTTTGTTATTATTCAAATTATTCTGGTGTTATAGTGTATCAAGATCAGAGTAAGTAATTTGGTTCAAACTTCACATTTTTTTTCATTTCTAAAATGTAAACTTCTCAAGTAATACTTGTATAGTTAGCATAGTGTACTTAAAGTGGTGATGATTATGAAAAGAGTTACATTAAAAAGCTTCAAGAACATTACTAAAATGTAGTGGAATACGGCTTCACAAGAACACACAGAGAGATATCTAGGATGCTGTTTTAGCCACATAAAAGACAGAGACTTTTCTTGTGAAGGAAAGGCAGTTGTTATTCATGTCATGCTTGAAGGCAATTCTCCAATGACCTTCCCTACAAGAAGAAAAAAAAAAAGGCTTATTAAATGCCATCTTCTTAAGCTGATAAATGTAATTTCTCTTACAAACTACAACAGTTTCTTTGCACTGAGAAAAACCAAATTACTATCCTTTGCTGGATGC